TGTTGCCCAGCAACCTCATCAGAAATTGGCATTTTTTTTTTTTAGAGTTGGGCCATTTTATTTTTTTTTAAAAAAGATTTATTTATTTATGCACAGAAGAGCTGGGGTATAGGCCAGAGGTGTGTGTGTGTGTTGGGGGGGAGATGAGAGGATTCACCAGAGACAGAGTGGGGAACAGAACAGGCAGATTGCTGAGGGGAAGAGCAGGGGAGCCAGGAGAGGTCTGCTGCACCACATGGGTTGCTCTCTGGCTGGCTGGGGATCAAACTCATGCTGCAGAGGTTGCGGATAGTTGCGGATAGCTTCGTAGGTTGCATCTTAACCCCTTGCGCGACCAGGGAGGCGCCAAGAGTTGGGCCATTTTAATAGGTTTGAGGTATTATCTCATCTTAATGTTTGATTCCCTGATTACAAATGTCATTGTGCATCTTTTCATGATTATTTTCTGTCTGCAAATCTTCATATTGAACTGCTCAGATTTTTGTTTTTTACTTTAAAATAGCAAAGGTTTATTTATTGCTCATGTTAAAGGTCTGGATATACATGGCTGAAAACTCAGCTTCATGTAATCATCATTTTTTTCTGCAACTTTGGTGGCGCTGTGCCAAAAGGAAAAGATACAATGTTGTAGTTTATTGGCTCTTGAAGCTGACTTTGGAGGCATCCTGTAAATACGGCATTTGTATTTCAGAGTTTTTATATGCTATGAACTATTTCTCTTCTTATGATTTTTACCTTGACTTATAAAAATGCATGCCCCAAACTTAACTGTCATAATGCAATGTTATTTCAATAAAAATTTTAAGTAAACAGGGGCCTCCCCAGTGGCGCAGCGGTTGAGCGCCGGGCTGCAAAGCTGCCTGTAGGCTCTGCAGTGTCGGTTCAATCCCCGCCAGCCGGCCAGGGTCCCACATGGCACACAGACCTCTCCTGTCTCCCGCTGCTCCCTTCAGTAGTGTATTTCGTCAGTCTGCCTGTTCTGCTCCCCGCTCTGGCTCTGGTGAATTCTCTCACCCTCCTGTGCTTCTGACTGTACCCAGTGCTTGTATAAACAAACAAATAAATAAATAAATCTTAAAAAAAAACAACAAAAGAAATAAAGAAAGAGCAGGAAGCCATAGAGCTTTTAAAAAAATTAAATAAACATGAAAGTGTAAAAAAGTATTTTTAGTTTGCACATCTTAACAAAGACAAGACAAAAGTTTGATAAGGGAAGGAGGAAGAGAAAGAACTGGAAATAAATATGGTAGAATATCATAGTCACTTAGTGTTTATATTAGACAGACTAGGCTAGATTCTGGGGCAGTAACAGACAATCTGAGAACCTCAGTGATTACTCTAAGAAAGAATATTTCTTACAATGCAGATGCACTGTGCCGGCTAAATTCTACCTGTCATTTTCATCCTGAATTTCAGGCTAGTAGAATAGCCTCTGCCTGGAACACTGGTGGATCTAGTTGCGGAAGAGTTGAGAACATGCCAAACCATGTGTTGGCTCTCGACATTTCTGCCTGAAATCAACATACATCACATGCGAGTCATACACCCATGCTAGCCTTCAAAGGGGTAGGACAAAGGGCTTCTCATCAGGGAGGGGGCAGTAACTATTTGTGAACAATGACATAGGCTGACACATTGCTTATTCTTAGTGCTTTCGGTTGCTTAGGTTTGGCTGCTTCTGCACTCGTGTTTATTATATTCTCCAAACTGGTGTCTTCAGTGGGGACTGAGAGATAAAATAATGTCACAAGAATAGCAGCTGATGTTTCTTGAATATTCTTGAACATTATTATTTCCCATACATTCATCTTTTACATGCATTTTTGCATTTAATCCTCACAACCACCCACTGAGGTACTTATAATTATTCCCCCTTAAAAATTTGGAAGGCTGAAGAGAGAGAGAGGTTAAGGATACCAGAATGCCAAATAGTTGAAATTCAAACCCAGTCACCTGTTTCTACTCCAGCATGGTGGTTATCAATAGATTCTGCCTAGGTTCGAATCCTGACAGATATTAGATACCACTATGATGGCCTCAGGCAAGTTCTGTAATTTCTCTGCCTCAGTTTCTCTGTCTCTAAACTAGGTATGTAACAATACCTACTTCATGGGGTTTTTGTAAAGTTTAAATACATAACTTTATATATGTGGGACACTGGAGTTTAGAAAACTGCAGGGTTTTAACAAAAAAGCCTGTGGATTATTATTATTCTGTGAATTATTATTCAGCTTATGTTTTAGAAACTTCCATTTGGTAACCATGCTCTCCATTTCCTTCTGTTTTCTCTTTATCCCCCACCCCCTTAAAAATTACTGTGCTAGATATTTGTTTCCACTTTACATTTATCTATTTATGGACGGATGCTTCACCAACGTGAAGGTAAACATGGGATCACCACTGCCTTCACCCTATCTGTACATCTCTGCCCCCAGACCTTCCTCACCTGTCAGCTTTGTGCTCCTGGTTTATTCCTCAGCCTTTTAGCTTATGTGCGTGCAACTATGATGTGATACAGGACAGGCTGTAAGATACTGGTTCTGCTTCTTGCTCCATGACCTTGCTAATCATTTCTTCCGGTTACATCTTAAAAGTTGATGGCTTTAGGGCCTCCCTGGTGGTGCAGCGGTTGAGCGCTGGGTTGCGAAGCTGCCCGCAGCCTCTGCAGTGCTGGTTCGATTCCTGGCTGCTCCCCGGCCACCGGAGGAGGGTCACACATGGCGCACAGACTGCTCCTGCTGCCCGCTGCTCCCCTCAGCAGTGTACTTCGGCCCTTCTGCCTGCTCTGCTCCCCGCTCTGGCTCTGGTGAATTCTCTCATCCTCCTGCGCTTCTGACTGTACCCAGTGCTTGTATAAATAAATAAATAAATCTTTAAAAAAAAAAAAGTTGATGGCTTTAAAGTGGCTTCACTCTGGAAACAAGTGCATTCATTTCTTGCCCTGTGAAAACTGACAAAACCCAACCAGCAGTCAACTATGCTTTGCATAGAGACAGCTTTTGGTCATAGCCATTTCTTTTATTTTTGTTCTTTCACTAGGAAAGAATTTTATTTCAACTGCAAGAGATGTCCATTAAACATCCCACTGAAACAGACTGAAGAAGCCATATTGTCAAAATGCCCACTTAACCTACCCAAACATCTCAAGGCCACCTTTTTGCTGAACTTCTATAGCCCATTTTAAAGTTTTGGTTTTTTTTTTTCTGCTTTAAACCAAGAGAAAGTAAACAGGTAGGGCCTCCCCGGTGGCGCAGCAGGTTGAGCACAGTGCTATGAAGCTGTCCGCATCCTCTGCAGCATGGGTTCAATTCCCGGCCAGCCAGGGAGCTACCCACATGGCGAAGCAGACCTCTCCTGTCACGCCCACTGCTCCCCTCAGCAGTGTCTTTGGTCCATCTGCCTGTTCTGTTCCCCACTCTATCTCTGGTGAATTCTTTCACCCTTCTGTGCCTCTGGCCTGTACCCCAGTTCTTGTATAAGAAAATAAATCTTTAAAAAAAAAAGACAAAAGAAGTAGACAGGTGCATGTTGGTAAATGCTAATTATCCATATTTACATCGAGACACAGTATCTGAGCCCAATAGTCAGAGAAAGGCAGAAAACAGCTGGAATTCAATGTCCTACCACCCAGGAGCCCAGCATCCTCCGGCTTTCAGCAGAGCAAAGGAGAGGGCGGTCTTTTTTTTTTTCCTATAAGGCATGGTGGTGTTGAGTCCATAAAGTTTTGGTTGAGCCAGAAAGTGATAAAAATGAACTTGGAGGGCCTCCCCCGGTGGCGCAGCGGTTGAGCGTTATGCTGCGAGGCTGCCCACAGCCTCTGCAGCGCCGGTTCATTCCCCGGCTGCCAGCGAGGGTCCCTCAAAAAAAAAAAAAAAAAAAAAAAGAACTTAGAACAGAAAGGGGCAGAGATTCTTTTCCCACTGTTTTCTACTAAAGGTAATTTCCCCCAAAGTAGGTTGAGAGCCATGCTGTAAAGGAGAGAAGAGACTTCAAGCACAGAGTGAGCGAGCACTTGCTCCCAGGGACAGGAGAAAATTTAAAAGCTTAGAATCCATGTGTTGCATTAGTCATTTTCTTCAACCTCCGCTCCTTCCTGCCCCATCATTATCCTCATCTTCTTCACCTTCATCTTCTCCCTCTGCTCATGGGTCTCCCAGCGGATCTTTTTTCATCACCACCATCATCTTCTTTTTTTTTTTTTTTTTTAAGAGAGGCATGTATTTTTATTTATTTATTTATGTATTCATTTGTTTGTTTGTACAAGCACTGGGTACAGTCAGAAGCGCGGGAGGGTGAGAGAATTCACCAGAGCCAGAGTGGGGAGCAGAGCAGGCAGAAGGATCGAAGTACACTGCTGAGGGGAGCAGCGGGCGGCAGGAGAGGTCTGCGCGCCATGTGGGACCCTCCTCCAGTGGCCGGGGAGCAGCCGGGGATCGAACCGGCGCCGCAAAGTCCGCAGGCAGCTTCGCAACCCAGCGCTCAACCGCTGCGCCACCGGGGAGGCCCCCCACCATCATCTTCTTTATCATCCATGTCTGGAACCAAGTAGTATTGTCATGGATTTGGCCAAATCTCATCTTTGGGTCATCAGTCTTTTAAAAACCAGAGGAGGGACCTCCCAGGTGGTGCAGGGGTTAAGTCTCAGCACTATGAAGCTCTCGGCAGCCACCACAGCACGAGTTCAATCCCTGGGCCAGGGAGCTACCCACATGGTGCAGCAGACCTCTCCTGTCTCTCCGCTGCTCCCCTCAGCAGTGTATTTCATAGATCTTTGTCTTCTGTCCCCTCTCTGTCTCTGGTGAATCCTCTTACCCCTTGCACCTCTGGCCTATACCCCAGCTCTTGTATGCATAAATAAATTCTCATTAAAAAAAATACAAGCCAGAGGATCCTGATGGGTCAGTGGAGTTTTCATGATAAAGACTGCCAGGTTTTTTTTCATGTAGTGTAAAGAGAACTAAATAATTCACTTTCAATTTTAATGCATAAAATTGACTAAAATAGAATGACTTGGCATGAAACAGAATGACTTGTGGGCAACTTGTAATCTGTTTTATTTACTAGCCCCCTGGAACATATATTTCTATTGAAATCTTATTTATGACATAAAACAGAAGGATCAACTCTTCTATTCCCTTATTTGTCCACTTCAAACAACACCAAGTCTTCAAGTACAGGTTTTGATTGGGATCAAGTTGAAGCTTGGGGTTCATCCCCAGAGCAAGTGAGTTTTTTCTTGATGATCTATGGTATTAACATGGTTTTATTCCCAAAGTATCTTAAAATAACATTTTAAAGGTTTGGTCCAGAGATTTCTTTCTTTTTTTTTTTTTGTCCTTGTCCCCTTCTACAAGCCTACATTTGAATTTGCCAGTTTATCTGGATGCATTGAGAAGTGATAATTAAGACACAGCAGTGGGGAAGTGTACAAAGTTTGAGAGTGCTTGATTGGGACACATTATTTATGTAAATAAAATCAAAGCTAAGGTTTTGATTGCTCCTGTGTGCTTCAGTTGTCATCAAGTCCGCCTTGAATTATAACAGCTGGAAGTTACTAATTGATTTAGATTTTCTAGATACAGCAAATTGGAAAGAAGTAATTTGCCATCTTTTTTGCCTGTTGGACTTATACTGTGGATTTCCTCGGCATCGATGTCATTTTAAGTATATTCTTGCTACCAGCTTCTACTTGTGTTTAATCAAATTGTGAATATAAATTCGACCAGTGCTATTCTGTATGGATTAGAACCTGAGGGTTCATACATATAAGTTACCTATAAAAAGACATAGTCTCAGCAATGCTGGAGACATCCATGAGTTTCTTCCTTTTCAAAACACTTAGATTGCTAGGTGAGGCCACTGCTAAATTCTAATTCCACTTAGTTTTATGGAATAATCGGCCTTCTCTCTTTCCTGACCAGTTTCCAATTATTTAGCCTTTTTCCACTAAAATCCATGAGGCAGAGTTAAGCACTATCCTCTCTCTGATTTCATAGCATATTTAAAGGAGCTTTATAGGGACTGGAGGAAGATGGTAGAACAGCAAGCATGAAAAAGGCTGGTTCTTGAATCGTATTTGCTTTGTGCTAAATTATTTGGGAAATGCTACAGTCATTATTATTCAAGAGTAAAGTGACACTGGAAACAATGTATTTTCTTCTTGGTAATCATTTAGATTTATTTTTAAAAGGAGAGGCGAGTTCTCTTGTTGATTCTGTAAGAGCGAAGGCAACAGCCAGTCATTTCTTTGGCTAATTCCTGCAATCCTTAAGTAGAACTTAAGCCCAGGTTACTTTGGGTAAGACAAATGTGAATAAAATGATATTAGGGCTATGTAGTTCTGAATAATAAAATAAAGATTAACATGGTAATATTGGTCCCTCTAGTACTGGTATTTAAACTTTAAAAAATCAATCAAGAGAGAAGATTAAGTGGAGTTTCCTTGGTACTAAAAATGTAAAGCTAAGACCAAATTGTTCTATTTTCATAGATTTAAGATACAAAGAATGATATTTAAAGATACTAAAACAGCTATTAAATTGTCTTCAGTTTGTAAAATATCTCCGATGAAGTACACTTAGAAGAAATCCCTGAGTACATTAACTATTCTATCAGCATCTTCATAAAGGGGAACAATTTGAAAGGTTTGCAAGATATAAAACACGATACTTAGTAAAAGCAGTATCTGCATAAAGCTCCCACCATAATGCTTATAAATTAGGCCACTAAATGCTTAATAGGAGAAGCAACATTCACACATGAACCATTCCCACTACACATTTTGAAACCAGTCTGCTATAGTTTCCCTATTTTGTTTTAGCCAATCGATATTGTTTTTCACTGTTTCCAACACTTGCTGTCTTGGTGTTTCTCCTGCTCCAGCTTCTGGATATCTTTTAAAAAAGCTCTCCATCTATAAAAGAGAGAGAAATAATTGAGTCATTTTAAGTTCAACTATTCATCAAGAATTTCACTTACAAACTGGGTCTGTTCCCTTCTTTGCTAGAAATTCAGTATCCTTACGAACACGGAGATGAACCTCCGGGTGCTTTGCTGAGATGGAGTTCCTGGCTCACGATAACAAGCATTCACCATGGCTTTGGACTGCCCAGTGAGGCAAGGGGAGTCTGATGCCCTGGGAAAGAGGACAGCAGTACCAACAGCTGACCTGGCCACTATGCATTCCTCACGGCTTTCCCTGGAAAATCTGGTCTGTGCAAGGATGACTTTGCTTACTTCAGGAGTCTGGAGTATTTTAATATAATTTGAGTTAGGTTATTTAGAACTCATAAAATAATCTCTGTGGAATCTTTATAGCTACAGATATATAAAAGATTAAATCTTGCCATTTTTGATAACATGGATAGAAGTGGGGGGGATTGTGCTAAGCAGAATAAATCAGGACAAAGACAAATACCAGATGATTTCACTTATGTGGAATATATGGAAACAAAGCAAATCTACCAAAAAAACTACACAACAAACAAACAAAAAATACTAGAAATATGACTACAGAACTGAGGCTGCCATAGGGGATACTAGGGAGTGAAGAGCAAAGTGGAGAAAGACCCAGTGGCCTGTGCAGACTATGGGCACCACAGTGGTGGGTGTGGTGTGGTGACATATATCTGAAGAGGTGTGAGCCTATTCCCCTCAATCATAAATCATGTTCTAAACCAAAGCTATCTCAATAAAAAATGTTATAATTTTTTAAAATCCACAAAAAGTAAAAGCTTCTCAAAACTAAACCATATGATTTGCTAGCTAGAAAAAAAAATTATTTTTCTTTTTTTTAAAAGATTTATTTTGTTTATACAAGAGCCGGGGTACAGTCCAGATAAGTGGGAGGGTAAGAGGATTCACCAGAGACAGAGCGGGGAACAGAACAGGTAGACTGACTGAAATGAAATATACTGCTGAGGGGAGCAGCGGGTGCAGCAGGAGAGGTCTGCTCGCAATGTGGGTTGCTCCGAGGCCAGCGGGGATCGAACTGGCACTGCAGAGGCTGCAGACAGCTTCACAGCACTGCACTCAACCACCTGTGCCACCAGGGAGGCCCAAAAATAATTATTTTTTCAATGCACAAAAGAATGTTAACATTCTAGTGCCTCTCTGGTGGCTCAAGGGGTTAGGTCTCAGCTCCATGAGGCTATCAGCAGCCACTGAGGCATGAGTTCAATCCCCAGCCAGGGAGATACCCACATGGCACAGCAGACCTCTCCTGTCTCACCGCTGCTCCCCTCAGCAGTGTATTTCGTCAGTCTGCCTGTTCTGTTCCCTGCTCTGTCTCTGGTGAATCCTCTCACCGCCCCCCCCCACCTCTGGCCTGTGTCCCAGCTCTTGTATATATATTTAAAAAATCTTTAAAAAAATAAATAAAGTATTAAAAAAAATAAATTCCGAAACTATGAATCAAACCTTGAGGAGGTAAGGGTGGATGCTTGGTAGGTTGAAGGGTCTTTTGCAGCCTTCAAGGCCTCACCTTTCTCTGCTTTTGTTTGGTTCTTCTGAACAAAGGTTCAGGAAAAAGACAAAACTTGCAAGCTGAATGTAGATCTGAGGTGCCCAGCCTTGGTGGGGGGAGGGAAAGGGGTCAAAACTGGGAAGGAAGGAATACAAGGGACTGTGGGGGTGACTGTGTTTGGGGGAAGAACCTCAAGGCCTATGTCTGAGGGGAGAAATCAAACACTGTCCCAAAATGAACAATGATGTAAGAAAACAATTAAATAATATTAATAAAAATAAATAAATAGCTTGTTTTTTGGTTATTTGAATTTTTTCAGTTTTTAAAAAATATGTATTTAATAGGATACAAGAATTACCTCTTCCTCCATAGCTTCCTGATCTGAATAAAAAAAACACCCTTTCTATTTTTTTTCCAAGTTTCATTTTGTCCCTAGACAAGCACAGAGGATGACGTCCATACCTCCCAGAGCTGCAGCTCCGTGTTGAAAGGGTCTGCTATGGTGACAATCCTGCCGAGGTTCCTGTCGTTGATCGTGAATCTGAAGAAACATGGAGGGAAGTAAGAGCAAGTACAAGTGCCCAGAATTTAAAACCCCTATTCTAGATGCACACGTCTCCTTTCTGTTGGGGGGGAGGGGTTAAAAAAGTGATTTTTCAATGTAAACACAACATAGTAAGAAAACACGTTTAAAACAATTCTACTGTATGAGTAAATTCTGCGCTTTTTGCAGATGCCTTCACGTCCCTTCCTCAGATGTAGGAGACAGCTTGGTGTCATCCCCAACTCTCTTCTCTCCTCATCCTCCACCCCAGACACCATGTTAACTATGTGAACATTCTAGGGCCTCTCTGGTGGCTCAAGGGGTTAGGTCTCAGCACTATGAGGCTATCAGCAGCCACTGAGGCATGAGTTCAATCCCCAGCCAGGGAGCTGACCCACATGGTACAGTAGATCTTGTTTAAGTAAGGGATATTGCTTGTCACAGACATGTTATCCTTCTTCCTTCAAGTTCCAACCGCATAAATAAGACATGCCCTAGACTTCCAGGGGTGGAACACCTTGAAATGCTCACTTCCAGAGGCTGACCTGAATGAGAAATAATCGTTTATGTCGTTAAAGCTGCTGCAGCTTGTTTCTATTACAGCAGAGAGTGCTATCACCTCCATGCTAATACTCTGCATCTTCCTGTAGTCACTGAGATTTGAATATCATTATTATTCCGCTTTCAAAAAGCCTGACTAGCTACATGCATTATTGCGTTGATGTTCTATATCACCCTAAGTAACAGCACTTGAAGCTGAGTGCAAAGATAGAAATTTAGAGCTCATATTCTATCCCTATTTTTTTGCATTTTCTCTCTAAAGGAGCAAGAATCATAAATTTTTTTACAGACCACAAGACAAATGATTGTGGTACTTGTAAAAAAAAAAAAAAGTCTCCTAACAGCTAACGCAGTGGAATAAAAACAGTCACAAAAATTATATTTAATGAGTCCAACCACTATGGAAAGATGTATGGAGGTTTTCCAGTCTACTAAAAATGGAGCTACCATATGACCCATCAATTCTACTCCTAGGGATCTACCCAAAGGACACAAAAACATTAAAACAAAAGAATACATGCACCCCTATGTTTATTGCAGCACTATTCATAATAGGAAAGACTTGAACTAAACCCAAATGCCCAAAATTAGACGACTGGATCAAGAAGATGTGGTACATATACACAATGGAATATTGTTCAGCAGTCAAAAAAGATAAATTCATGCCATCTGCAGCAAAATGGATGGAGCTAGAAGGGATTATGCTCAGAGAAATAAGTCAGAAGGAAAAAGAAAAATATCACATGGTTTCCCTTGTAGGAGGAATACAGGGGAACCAAAATTAAACATCAAAATTCATGATTTTGTTTTAAAAGGAGATATAAAGAACACTTACAAATTGGTCAAAATACACCAACAGGAACCAGCAGTTTGCAGAAGAAATATAAAGAGAAAACATACCAATGGAAAAATGATGAAATGCTTTAATAATTAAGCACGATCTTCAGTGTGCCAGGTCCAATGCTCACCTTGACTACTGAGTTTAATCCACCCAATCTTTCATCTTTCTTGTCTTAGAAGAAGAAGTCAGGCAATTTTCCTTAGCGACAATCAGTCATTATCTAAAATCTCAGACTAAGCATGTATTCTCAACACTGTTTCTATTATATGTGTTCTTCACTGCCTTGGGAACTACCAATGAAAAGACTGAATAATAGCTGCCACTATCTATATAAATGCTAGAAATACAAAAATGAAATAGGCTCATCCAAGAAACCAATAATTAAAGTGTAAGATTTAAGGGGAAATGTGTTGTTTATTTATCATATTGATTAGTTTGAAAACTAAGATAAGGATTTAATTATATCAAGTATTTTGAAGAATAACTATATTATGTAAAATTCATCTTCTTGGACTTAATGTCAACATAAATATTATTATTTCATCCAAAAGAAATGGTTTTGATGCACACAAAATATTTACTCACTTTTTGAATTATTTTGTTTACAAGGTAGTGTTTAAGTGGTTTCAGACATGTCCCAGTGACTTAATTTTTCATCCACAGTTATTAATTAAAACCAAACACAGTTACACCATATATTATTGACTTATTGCATTCATTCCACTTCACAGTTTTGTCTAAAAGTTTAGTGGAATAAACAAAAACAGCAAATAATTTCTGAAGTATCCTTGGAACTTTATGGTTAAGTCTCAAACTGGAAAGGATATTAGTGGTGTGGATATCAGTTCTCATAAAAATCATATGGTCACCCTTGGTGGCACAGGGGTTAAAGTCTCAGTGCTATCAAGCTATCGCCAGCCTTTGTGGCCTGAGTTTGATCCCCGGTCAGGGGGCTGACCCACATGGCGCAGCAGACCTCTCCTGACTCACCTGCTGCTCCCCTCAGCAGTGCATTTCAGTAGATCTGCGTGTTCTGCCCCCCACTCTGTCTCTGATGAATCCTCTCACCCCCCCTGCACCTCTGGCCTACACCCCAGTTCTTGTATGCATAAATAAAAAATAAATCTTTTAAAAAATCACATGGTAAAAATTTATAAAAAAATTGCTTGTTTATTTTAGGATGGTAATAAATTGTTCAGAAATGGAGACAGTAAAATCACTCATTCTGAAGTTTGGAAGACATTAAAGAGTTTGGAAATATTTGGATAAAACTGACTCATTTAATTTGGCTTATCCAACTTTATTGGGGAAATTCTATTTATTCAAACTAACCACAAGTAATATTGATTTTTTTGTATGTCTGAACATGTGGTTATATATAGTTTTGTGTTTGAGGCTATTTGGAATAAGACCTCATGAGAATTAGATCATTAGACTATGAAGAAAGTTAAAAGCCTTGAGCAAGGGTTTGGAACTAGCACTGGAAATAGTTTACCAATTTATTTTTCTTGAAAAAAAATCAAAATTTGGTCTAATAGGTTTCTTTTAAGGCCAGATGTTTATAATTTTTATGACAAGGTAACACTTGCTTTTTCCAACTTATTTCTTAATAGGTATAAAAATGAACACTTTTTTGAAGTGAAAAAGTCATGATTCAAAATAAGTCAGGTCAGAGCTATTCCAATAGGCCTTGAAAAACACTCTATTTAATAAACAGTAAGGGAATGGCCATGCTATTTTGCAAAATAGAACATTATTTTCATATCTTTTCACAATAATTTTAAAATAAGCAGTTTTTCATTTACATAGATTTCTTGTAAGTTCATTCTCATTTAGCTCTCATTAAATATTGAAAACTAAATATGTGCCTGACCTTATCTAAGTGTTAGCACAAAATGCAGAACTACCTGTTTTAACCAAATTAAAAATAACACAATTTAGTGATCTCTCTGGATTTTAGAGATTCTGTACATCAATTGGAAATAATACTTTCCAGGAAAAAAAATATGCTAAAATTAACTAGCATATTGCTTTCCAAGAAGGAAAATAAGTGATCTCTTACCTTTGATAACATGTCCTGTCAGAAATGGTACTGATGTTAGAGAAAGGACAGCAAGGAGAAAAAGAAAGAACATGTACAGGGATCTAACAAAGAGAACAGCAAACCATTGTTTAAGCATCCCACCTGTTGACTAGATAGTCCCAGTTGAGCTGTATCCAGGTCCAAGCCATGGTCTTCCCATAGTGGTTATATGAGATATATCGGATGACTGTAAACACATCCTGACTTTTAATAATGTTTGGGTCCTTGAGCAAATCCAAATAGCTAAGAGAAGTCAAACAGAAAAACAGTTTAAACTGAACTTTTAATATTCACCCTTAGCTAACTTTCAGTAGAACATAGCTTTCATTTCAGTAATTCAATTCCTAAGGCATCAACGGACAATGTTAATGAAAAGTAGCAAATAATAAAACAATTTAAAAGTGCGTAAAGTAGTTGACTGTTTTTAAACAACAACCTATGATTTTTGAGCACTAGTAAAATATAATTATAAGAACATCTGAAGATGGAACTATTTTGGAAGTACTAAAAATAATTTAAAAGATACAATTTTAACTTTAACTTGAAAAATAGTTGCACTTACTGAATAGAAAATCTTCACCCATTTACCTATTATCCCACTGAGCTAAAAAACAAAGTAGCTAGTAAATTTAGGGAACAGGTCTCCCTGGTGGTGAGAGGGGTTAAGATAGCATTGTGAGGCTGTCTGCACCCACTGCAGCACAAGTTCAATCCCTGGCCAGGGAGCTAACCAGATGGCTCAGCAGACCTCTCCTGTCTTGCCCGCTGCTCCTCTCAACAGTGTATTTCAGTAGATCTGCCTGTTCTGCTCCCACGCTGTCTCTGGTGAATCCTCTCACCACCCCTCACCCCCGTGTCTCTGGCTGCACCCCAGTTCTTCTACACAAATATAAATAAATAAAAACTTTAAAAACAAACAAAAGAAAAATGGTGAAGGGGTACTGCTAGTGCTGTCAGGGAAAAAGCAAACTGCTGGTCCTCACAAACTGGCTACTGCCTTATAATTTACTATGCCCATTCAGTCTCCCCAGTAAGCCTCTAAGTTTTTCAAGGATATCTACCATATCTTAATTATTTTTATTCCCACAATCTCCACGTAGAAAGGATACCATAAGTGTTGGTTAAATGAATAAAGTAAATAACTCAGAAACTAACTAAACAAAAAATTAATTAAGGCAGAAGCTAACTAATCTGAGGGCATAGTTGTGAAGTGGGAGAAGATTTATAGATGAGTTTCATGCCAAGACACCTATACACCTACAATAAAGTATAACTTAAAAATCAGACACAATCAGAGATGAACAATGACAACTAATAGTAAAATGGAACAATTAAAACAATATACTGTAATGAGAATTATGTGAATGTGCTCTCTTTCTCTCGAAAACAAATAATTTATTGTAGTTCATATTTTTGGACTGCAGTTGACTCTGGGTCACTAAAACTGCAGAATGTGGGACCTCCCCTGGTGGCGCAGTGGTTGAGCGCTGGGCTGCGAGGCTGCCTGCAGCCTCTGCAGCGCAGGTTCGTTCCCTGGCAGCCAGCGAGGGTCCCACAAAAAAAACCCAAAAAAACAAACAAAAACAAAACCTGCAGAATGTGAAGCAACTTATGGGGACTGTTGGATATTTTCCTCTGTGTGTGTGTGTGTGTATGTGTGTGCGCACACACATTCACACACACTGTAAAAGACAAGCCTCCTCTGCTGACAGAGGAGCTTGGGGCATGGTACCCTTGGTGCTTGGAAAGGCAGACTGAGACCCTAGACTCAGAGTATCCTGACTGGTTCAAGTTCATCCTACTCAAATGATGGAGTGGTGGATCCAGAATGTGGCCCAGCACTGATTATGTGGGTAGGGGAGGTGTGAAGATAAAAGACAGAGACTTGGGAGCAGGCACTGTCTTGATTGTGTCTTCTATCAAGCATATTTGTGCCAAGACAAAATGTTTGGAGCTCTGGAAGTCACGAGACATACCACATGTTGAGAATGGCACAACAGAAAGAGCAGAATCTAAATCCTGGATGAAAATGTGGACCGTGGATTTCTCCTACCTCCAGAATATTTCATCTGAGGCGATGTGCCCTTATTATTTATGACACTCTTACATGGATTTTTTTTTCAGGGAAAATAATCTTTAATAGCATCTTAGAGATACTCTGATACCTAAGTCATCAAATATCATCCATATAAGTGAAATAAAAACCCAACTTACTTTGACAAAAGAGTAATGTTATTTACGGATGCTAACCCATACAGCAGTTTTTCTTTCTCTTGTGCTAATGCAGTATTCCGGTATTTCTCAAGCATGAAATTCCAGGAACTTTCGTTGCCAGAGTTCTGCATGCCATACCGATATACCAGAAGCCTGAGATTCACAGGAAGCCTAGAAGAAGGACATGAGTTTGAGAGTGTTTTCATCTATTAGACTTTAATTTTGAGTAAACTTGATTTCTTTTGTTTCACAGACTTTCAATTTTTTTTTTTAATTTTCTTACTGCCTCATTTCTCAGTTTAAAGTCTTCTCTAAATGAAAACATGGTGAGGGCCTCCCTTGTGGCTCAAGCACTGTGAAGCTATCCACAGTCTCTGCAGCATGAGTTTGATCCCCAGCCGGCCAGGGAGCTGCCCACATGGTGCAGCAGACCTCTCCTGTCTTGCCTGCTGCTCCCCTTAGCAGTGTATTTTGGTCCTTCTGCCTGTTCTGCTCCCCGCTTTGTCTCTGGTGAATCCTCTCACCACCCCCACACCTCTGGTCTGTACCCCAGTTCTTGCATGCATAAATAAATAAATCTCAAAAAAAAAAAAAAAGAAAAGAAAACATGGTGAATAATTACTTCACATTCCCACTGAGCCAATCCTGAAATAACTGGGAAGCACTGTCCAAGGCAGATTTGTCTCCCACTTTACAAGCAAACCCCAGCACTGAGGCCCGGAGCAACCTGAGGAGGCAAAGACACAGATGGCGCCTTGAGCACTTTCAACACATCTTCATGTGCACAAATGTTAAATGAATGTTACTCTTAAAAAGGTAAGAAATAACCTTGTGAGGTGGTCTCCAGTATCGTTCCATTGCAGTTTACTTGCAATGGGCCCCACTTGTCCTTGGAAGTATGCCTGAAATAAAAGTACCAGGTACAATGAGTAAGTAAAGCTTACAATTTATCAAGTCTCCTGTGCATGATCATCTCTATCCCCTCTTGCCATCTTCTATCAGCTCAGGGAACTTGGGCCTGTCCTTTTTTTTGCAAAGGGCCATAATCAGTTCTTATTATATTGCAATTTTGCTTCAGTCTTAAAGAGAAGACCATTGGGGATCTTTCTCTAATATTTTATGAAACTTTGGGTGAGCCCCTTTAAACCTCCATTTCTTAGTTAATATATGTAATAGAGTAACAGCTGGCATAATAACCAAATCAGAAAATTTCTCAAGTATTGTTACAATAATAATAATTATGCTTATTAATGTTCATATTTTGCCTTAGAATTTACTAAGGGCAATATTATTATTTGATCCTCACTATCCCATTGTCATAGGTAACTGAGTATGGCAATCCTATTGTACCAAGGGCATAAAGACTACAAATATTAAATTATTTGTCTAAGTTCTTTCATTTAGTAAATGGAGGAGCTAGGGATTTGAATGCAGAATTTGTCTAAAATTACAAGTGTCCCAGCAAAATGCTACAAAAATCACTAAGTATTTGGAATAATTTCTAACAAAATATCTATGTGAGATTAACAGCAATAAGGAAAGGTAATATAACATTATATTTTAGTAAGAAGAATTTCAATTTAATGTAGATAAATCCATCGATTTTAGGATCTGTGGTTTTACATGTTGTCTATTTTAAACAAATTATTAACTATAGTATTCCTTCTATTACTAAAATATACTTTTACTGTGGTATACAAATAATGATATATTTCAAGTTGAAAAGAATAGATAGCATCTCTTTGCTTTGACTAGACAAGTCACTCTAATTTCTGTGATTTCACTGTATAGGCAGATAACCTTTGTGTGCCCCAGTAGCTCCTTGTCTGAGAAATCATCTCAGGCTATCAATAGCTAAACTTTGACTTTCCTGACCTACAGAATTAACCTCACCTTAATCTTGGGGTACAGCTCTTTATCATCTTCAAACATGCTGATGATATAGGTCACAGCTGAAATGACTCTCTGCCATGGCAAATAATCCTCTTCCCCTGTGAGATAGCTGGTCAAGTTCAAAGCATTCTCATAACCTAGAAGTTGAGCTCTAAGAATCAAACAAGGAAAAAGTTCATTAAAAAACAGACAAGTTTTCTGTGTTTGGGAAACAACAAATGTTGGCAAGGATGTGGAGGAAAAGGAACTCTCCTACACTGCTGATGGAAATGCAAACTTGTCCAACCACTATGGAAAGCTGTGTGGAGGTTTCTCAGTCTACTAAAAATGGAGCTACCATATGATCTAGCAATTCCACTCCTAGGGATCTACCCAAAGGACACAAACACTTTAATTGGAAAGGATACCTGAGCCCCTATGTTTACTGCAGCACTATTTACAATAGGTAAGATATAGAAACAACCCAAATGCCCAAAAATAGATGACTGGATCAAAAAAATGTGGTATATATATACAATGGAATATTACTCAGCAATCAAAAAAGATAAACTCTTGCCATTCATAGCAACATGGATAGAGCTGGATGGGATTATGCTCAATGATTTAAGCCAGAAGGAAAAAGAAAAATATTGGATAGTTCCACTTATAGTAGGAATATAGGGGAATAAAATAAGGGATCAGGAAAAAATTATAATAAATAAAAAAAGTTAACAAGCAACTATAAATCAGAGACATTCTGCAGGGGAGGGGTAGGGAGACGGATCAAAACAGGGCAGGGAAGAGCACAAGAGACTATGGCAATGGTACACGGGTGAAGTGGTGGTAGGAATTTTATGGGGACAACACCTGAGAGGAGAAAGCAAATAGTGTACAAAAATGAGCAATAAATGTAAAATATATATAAATAAATAAATTTTAAAATGAAAAATATGTCAAGAAGCTGGTTTGGTCAGTACACTAGCTTGCTATCCAGGAAGCCTGCTAAGTTGCCCTCCCTGCCTGCCTGTGTTGCTTTACACTGTTCTTCCAGCCACTATTCAGTCCATGTGTGATGAGCATCTACTATATGCCAGGCAGAGTCAGGAGCAGGGGACAAGATGAGGACAGGACCTGGGTCCCTCCCTCAGGACAAGTGCAGCCTGGTGAGGGAGGTGGACAATGGATAAGCAATGCCAACACAATACATGGGGAAGTTCAAGGCTGGCAGAAGGGAGGCCAGCTGGGAGGCTTCCTGTAGAAGTGGCATCCAGTCCTGAGTATGTTCAGGATGAAGGGTGAGGACACTATGAAGTCAGTTACATGCCTCAGAGTATCCATGGCCTCTACAAAAAAAGCTGGAAGTTCAATAACTACCTGTTGAACTGCTGGTCTTAGATTATCTGGAAGAAACCCTCAATGGGACTGTTACTTCCCCTGGTTCATTCCCTTAGTACATGTTGACTGGCTTGGGTTTTTTTGTTTTAATTTTTTTGGTTTATACTGGAGTACATAGGATGGAGTGAGAAAGGTCGCCATGGGCTACATGCCTATGGGAAATGGTTGGTCTTTTTCTAGGTTTAGGTTACGTTTAGAACATGAGGAAAAAAAAGTCCAATTTCCTATGTGTTACTGTGACTCCAACCAGTCCTAATGTGCCGTGTCTCATTCTTAGTCCAGGGACCTGATGAAGGCGTGACAGTGCTAGCCACGAGCTCTTACTGTGGGCTTGGTCCCACAAAGTTGAATCAGCAAAAGACATGTTGTCTTTTTATTAAATCCAGTTATGATAGCACACTTTTGAGCCTCTGTTAAATCAGAGCCCCGATTAACTGTAGGGCTCTGATAAAGACCAACCCTACTCAATTCAGCAGGACAGGTGAGATTTTGTGTGTATGCTAGGGGCTAATTCCAGGATATTGGCTATGCGGCTCTGTGAGTTTTAAAAAAGAGAACAAAGGATGACAATGTTATAAATAGTGGCTTTGGCTACTTAAAACTAAAATGGATTAATGCTTCAGCTTGGTTGTAATTCATTTACAAAATCCACAGTGTTTTAAATGATCTAGTCTCACTCCAAAACCCACCTTGCCAAGGCAAAAGCATCATCAATGAGACTTGCACGGTCAGCAGAAGAAAAGTCCTGGAGATAAAGGGAAAAGAGGTAAGAAAAATGAATCTTAAAGGAAAGCAGGTTGAAAAAATGAGTATTCGTAAGATGCTATTCTTTGAACAAACATAAAACAACTCAGCCATTGCTACCCTTACCGTGTGGTTCCTGGTAAGATTAGTAGCTATAGTGTCCCAAGTTGATTTTTCATAATTGACACGATAAAATCCAATATGATCTGGGTTTATTTTCACAAAATCTCCATCAGGATTAGCTGTCAAAGTGATGCCTGCAGTGGTACATAAACACTAATGAGAAACATGTTTGCATATACTGTAAGCACAGAGAAATTAGACCCAGAGGGTTAAAAAAAATAAGAAAAGACATATTGGCTCAAGGACTAAAGTTTGGTTTGGATCCAAATCTCCCAAGCCTAATTCGTATTTAGTTGCCCGACTTGGGACTGTTGCTGTAGTGCATGAGCTGAAAAAGAAATAGGTAATGTAAATAACTGTCCCTAATTGGTGACTTCTACTCCTTACTGACAGAAGCTTCCCAAATGGGTGAAATAATTCTGTGCTTGCGATCCTTCAGTAAAAGAAAATAATGCCGAAAGACAGAAGTTCCTGCCTTCCAGGGCTAAGTCATATATTCCTAATCATGATGCACTCATTACAAAGAGTATTCACTGTGGAGCAGCCTGGGGAGGGGATAAATATGTAAACATTTAAGAGAGTACATTGTTTATTCAAATCAACATTCAAATTAGTGGAAATCACTATTGTTAAGCAGAATAATGATTTAAGGATCATAATGCTTTTAAAATGCCAAAAACATGCAATAGAGCTGAAATCCAGACACATTTTTGATTTTGTGATGAACTTCATACTTGCTTTTCCAATTTTATTTATCTTTAGAGTCTTCTACTTCCTCATTTCAATTGATTGTATCAATGCCTTTCCGTCCAAGGGTTTACCAAATTAATTTTCTAAAGCAGCAACCAGTATTTACATAGAGCTCTAATATATACTTAGAAGCTCAACATTGAAAGAACAGAAACTTATAATTCAGGTTAAAAAAATGTTCAGTTAAGGGCCTCTTGGTGGCCTAGGGGTTAAGCCTCAACGCTATTACCTTTATGGCGTGAGTTCGATCCCCAGCCAGGGCACAGCAGACCTCTCCTGTCTCGCCTGCTGCTCCCCTCAGCAGTAAACTTCAGTAAATCTGTCTGCTCTGCTCCCCACTCTGTCTCTGCTAACCCTCTCACCCTCAGGCCTCTAGTCTTTATCCCAGTTCAATGCAAAAAAAAAAAAGAAATGCTCACTTAAAATAATAACTAAACTCTGACAGCACCAGTATTGGTTAGACTCACTCCTGTACTTTTAAGTCGTATACTCTTTCATTTGCAAGGAGGACAATATACAATGTAAACAATGGTGTAGGAATACTTAGTATATTTGAGGAATTGCGCATGATGTTGGCTAGTGACAACTTAGCGTGTGATACTGGAAAAGAGGACATTAGGCCGGAAATGAGGCTGGGGCTTCCCTGGGAAGAGCCACAAGCCACGGTGAGGAATCCACCTTCGGAGAGATGGTGAGACACAGATTTTTAAGCAGGAAAACAGCCCACATTTCCATTTTCTAGAAAGTGGTGACAGTGTTTGGGACATATGTTAGAAGGAGATTCTAGAGTTGACTGAAATAACCTAGTGCGGAGAGAAGGGCTTATATCAAGGTGGAGAGGACGAAAATAGAAAGATGTATTCAAGAGACACATCACAGGAAAAATCAACACATCCCCTTCTCAGGCCCGATAAGGATGGTTAAGGAAGGAGCACGGCTGGCATGACTGGATGAATAACGTGTCGCCATCAGAGACAAGGGGAAGGTGAGTCAGTTTGGGAGGAAAGATGATATAAATTTTGGAAGCGTTTGCAAGGCTGGACAGTCTCCAGGACACGGTAGTTTTTCATAATATATGAGTAAACTCTTCAATGAGACAATACGTTTCTTTAGAAACTTTCAGAGTAAGTACTTGACAAATTATAAACCTTTACCTCACTCACGTAATATTTATCTTTCTTTGTCATTCTCCCAGAGACATGTTGTTGAAAGGAAACTAATCTTTTGGCAAGCATGTACGTTGAATGTTTGTATCAGGAGGAGAGGCTCTTGCTAAGCACAGAGCCGTATGTTATAGGAGAAAGAGCATGAACTTTCAAGTCTGACAGATCTAGGATAAAACCCTTGCTCTGTGACTTACTAGCTGTGTGACCTTGGCCGAATCACTTGACCTCTCTGTGTCCCAGTTAACCATAAGGAAAAGAGGGATAAAATTCCCTCACAAGTCTGTTGTGAGGATTAAATAAGATAACATAGGTAAAGTGTTGGTCACCCAGCTATGTGCCCAACAGATGCTAGCTATCTCCATTATTATGAAAGAGGATCTGCTGCCAGCTCTATAAATAGTGAAGCAAATATAAATAACATCGAGAAGTTCCTGGCAATCCATCTAAATACTGCAGCATTTTAGTGTGCTTTATATATACCTAGCTAAGCCTATCTAGAATTACTGTGATTTTTCTCACTTTATAGATGAGGAAGCTGAGATCCAGGAAGCCAGTAGTTAGGAACTTTCCAAGTTCATGCTACTTTCAGAACAGTTGTCAACAGTGAAAGCCTGTGGGGCTGTGTAGTTACATAACAAGTAAGTAGGACTGAGATATCGATGCCTGTAGCAGAGGGGAGGGTGTGTGTGTCTTCTCTCTCCCTATTTATTAACTTTTTTTCTGATTATAACAGCCATGTGTTCCTTGTGGTTCCAAGTATATATACTCGGAAAATACAAAAATATTATGTATGAAAATGTAAATTTAATGGTGACATAATCCTTTATCTCCCAATGTGTAAATTTTTTCCCTCTCTTGCTCACCCCATGAGTAAAAGTGTTGAATTCTTACTGAGTAGGGAATCTTTCTAGAAAAGTCTTATTTTTCTCTTCCCTTACTTGTCTACATGGTTGAAGACTGAAAACTGCCTTTGCAAAATTTCTCCCAGTTTTTTGATTAATGACACAGAAGTTAAACTTGCAGGCTGAAACATCCCCAATAGGTACACTAACAGAATTTTGGATCAAGGAAGAAAACTTTACTGTCTGAAACTAAGATGAACATGATTCCTTATGGAATGGATTGGTCAGTCACTTGTGGGAATATCCTCAATGGATCATGTTTTCAAGAAAGTATTTAATGATCGTGTCATTAATAATTAGTCTCTCCTAAATTTCAGGAAGTGGCCTACGGCATAAATAGGAATCTGGAAAGAGGCAATACCACTGTGGAAAAGGATGGGTTTGGTGGTTGGGAAGAAATAACTGCAAGGGAGGGCTGGCTAGTGAAGACGGTCCCTGTGTCTCTAAGGGACCAGGGACACTGAGCTGGGGCACATGTTCCAGAACTTTTGGCAGATCTATTCCTGGAAAGAAGTGCATGTGGCAGAGGCCGTTGTATATGTGGCTGCTGGCCTTGTCCTTCTGCCTGTAGGGCTAGATTTTATTAGCCTCCCGTGCAGTTAGGGCTCAGCACCTCATTGACAACTGCACATAAAACGTGGGTAGAAGTGATAGATGCACCTCTACGCCTGGTCCTTTCTTTATCTTTTTCTGTCTTCTGCCCAGATGCAGAAGATCCAGCGGGGCCAGCCAAGATCTAAGGGGGGTGGTAGAGCCACAGAAGGGAAAAGATTGTGTTTTTAAGTCATTATTTGGGAGAGGGTCACCTCCGAGAGAGGATGGGTCAAGAACCTCTCACTGACTACTGCATGAATAAGAAACCTTTGCACCAAAACACCACTGATTGTCTCTTGAGTGCAATAATTAGACTCTCTTTTTTACCTTTATTAAGTAAACCTTCTTTCTGAGAAAGCACCTAATTAGCCTGGTTCACTTTGGCCAGTGTGTTTATTTATGAAAATTAACAAATCAGTATGTTTGTATGTTTGGTTTATATGAATTAATCTTTCAAACCTTGCTTGACCAGGACTAAACAGATGAAAGAGTTTCTGAACCTGAAAAACTGAATCCACAGATCCAGCAATTCCACTCCTAGGTATTTACCCAAAGGACACAGAAACATCCATTCCAAAGAGCACCTGCACCCCTATGTTTATAGCAGCACTGTTTACAATAGCTAAGCTTTGGAAACAACCCAAATGCCCAAAAATAGATGACTGGATCAAGAAGATGTGGTCCATATACACCATGGAATATTACTCAGCATTCAAAAAAGATAAACACATGCAATTTGCAGCAACATGGATGGAGCTGGAAGGGATCATGCTCAGCGAAATAAGGGACTTAAATAAGGGACCAGGAAAAAGAATAACTATAAGAAAGAAAATATCAAAATCAACAAACAACTATGAACCAGAGACACTCTATGGGGGGTGGGGGGCGGGGAAAGGAGGGCTTGGGGTCAAAATAAGGGGGAATTGTATGGGGAATATAAAAATAAAATTTAAATAAAAAAAAACCCGAATCCACAGTGACACAATTCAAACATTCCATGAAGCTCAGCTTGCACGAATGAAGAAAGTCTGTCTCTTTGTGTTAAACTTTAAAACATATGCCCATTATTTTGATATAAAGTATTAAAATTAGCTACCATCAAGTTATAATAATATTCCATTTCTATGAGCACATCAGATTTTGGAGATCTAAACCATGCAGAATACATCCTCAAATCTCAGTTATGAAAACAGTCATTGCAAAGTCTAGACCATCTCCTCCTAGAACCTGTGTGCTTAGGAATGACTATTTTAAGACATTATGTTTTCACAAGACTGGTTATCTGATATCTTGTGACAGTCTTCAATTCTTCTCAGTGTTAGAGGGCAGGGTAAAAGCAAAAGAAAAATCTACTACAACTAAATAGAGATAACACTGACAATAGGTAGAATAACAGCTGAGACTAAAGGCATGACTAAAATACACAGGCCGTCTCTCAAACACATCAGCCTGGGACACACAGGCCAACTCAGGCAAGAGCTTAAACTCTTGAGTAAATGGTAGAGTGTGTACTGAGCTTTGTTGGGTGTAGGGCAGGGGACAAGGCGTGCAGAGTGTGCTTTCTCTCTTCAAGCAGCTTATAATTTATTTGAAAAAAAGCAAAGAGAAAGCATATGAAGCTTTTTTAACAATGATGTTGCTTAAAATAGAAAATAATAATAGACGTAAGGATGGACAAAACTGGCAGCATAAAACATACTATAGCAGGTGAGAGGAGAGATTACTCAGGGTAGGTTAGAAGAACCACAGCAGCTTCTCTTACAGACATCCTCTCCTTATCAATAACATTTTTATAACAATTTAATTTTTTATACTGTTTAAAATATTGTGAACAACACAAATGTACATGAAAGACCTTGGGCGAAGTCCCACTATTGCCTGGGAAATTTCTAGCTGATGAATCATCTAAGAAGCCAGGAGGTGGGGGGGGGGTAGGTAACCTGAGCTGATTGACCAGCCAGTACTCTGGGGACGTGTGGGTCATCTGTGCTGGGAGCTGAGAGCTGGAGTTGTCCCCAAGCAGGAAGCAGGAACTTATTGCACAGTCTAAAAATGGAGCGGCCACTTTGAAGTAAGAAGAGATGTCTAGTTTGCTTCTGGCTTAGTGACCAGTCATGATTCTGAAATTTCAGATTAAGATAGGTTTGTCATCAAAGCTCTGTGGACATTAGTCTCTTCATTCATTCAGTGAACAATTACTAGGTATCTGCTGGAGATAAAGAACCAACACCGCTACACAAAAGTAAGCTCTGTTTCTTCATGGAATATTCTATGGGGTGGGGGAGTTGGATGAGACAATAGTGAAAGTAAAAAAATGTGCACGTGTAATGACAGAGGTTGGGGATTACTGTGAGAGCCCCCACTTTCTACCAGTGTTCTGTCCAGTGCGCAAGTATAGTCGGTCAATTCTATCACCCACCCAACTCTCAGCCAACATGTCTTTTTCTCTAGTAACCTTTCCTGAACCCCTCCATGAGTGCAGGTGCTTCTCTGGGCTATTACCATGCCAGGCACTTACTTGACAGCTGCCAGCGGACCCGCCAGCAACTTTTTACGGGGTAAGGACTGTGCTTCCCCCACCCCCAGCATGACCTCCATGCCTACCCTGGGTCTGGCACATGTTAGTTCTCCATAAATACTTGCTTGAAAGAATTCACTAATTACTCCATTAATTAAGAATTAGCTTCATTAAACAAATAGTCTAATAGGTCCATTTTACATCAAAGGAAAAATGTTTATTGTTAACTCTTGAAATCTATTTTATGACACCCTAAGCTTTTCAGTTGTCTGGACAGTTCACTCACAGAAAAACCTTACTGTGTGAAAATTCTGGGTAAACGGTGTTTCTGTAGATGAATCTTTCATGTTTTTCAATGAGTAAGCAACAAATCCAGTAGCTGACAAGATTTTCCTCTAACCTGCACTTGACCATCAGTGACAAATGCTCAGTAATAGTTAAGCCAAAGGGGCCTCCCTGGTGGCACAGGGGTTAAAGTCTCAGCACAATGAAGCTATTGCCAGCCACGGTGGCTTGAGTTCAACCCCCGGCCAGGGAGCTGATCCACACAACACAGCAGACCTTTTCGGAAACCTGCCTGGGGACACTTGTCTCACTGAGTCTTATCAGGCCATGAAACATTTTTAAAAGTTTCTCTTTTGGGGCCTCCTCAGTGGCACAGCAGGTTGAACGCAGTGCTGTGAAGATGTCCGAAACCTCTGCAGCGCAAGTTTGATTCCCGGCCGGCCAGGGAGATACCCACATGGTGCAGCAGACCTCTCCTGTCTCGCCCGCTGCTCCCCTCAGCAGTGTATTTCAGTCAGTCTGCCTGTTCTGTTCCCCACTCTGTCTCTGGTGAATCTCTCACCCTCCCGCACATCTGGTCTGTACCCCGGTTCTTGTATAAATAAATAAATCTTTAAAAAAAATTCAGAGGCTTATTTAAGTGACATAAGGGACAAAAAGCAAGGAAAACTGAAGAGAGCTGAGGAGGAAGGAGCAAAGAAAGGAAGATAATTTATACGTGAATTTCCTATAGTTCTCTATATGGCCCGCTCCTTTGGAGATGAGTATTTATTGTTGTATCCTCATGGTAAAACATGAAAAAGAATATATCAGGTAGAAAAGTTCTCATTATTATACATAAGAATTTGGATTCATCAAGAAATTTTAGAGGAGGTCTCCTTTAGCTGAAATTTACATCATACGTTTTGGTTTTATTGCTGTTTCTTTGCACTTAGACAAATGTGATACATTAATTCAAATAAGAAATAAATTATTAATATTTACCTCCTGCTTCTGACCTATTGAAGAATGTAGTACTTGTTATACCATCTCCGGTCCATTTAACTGGAATATTCCATGTGTAACTAAAATTTTTAAAAAAGAGAAATTTAATTTTTATTACCCCAAAATAGAAACATTTTCAAAAGTAAAAACAATTTAAAAGCAACAAACCAGTATTTTTTCCTCATAATTGGTCATCCAGTCCATGCTGTACAATGAATATAGCACACATAATTGGTCTCAATTTCTATAATTTAGCTCTATAAAAATAGCTCTATAATTTGGAACTTTCTTTCAAAAAATTAGCAAAGGACAAAGATTACTTCAATAAAATGCCTTGAGGGCCTCCCTGGTGGCCCAGGGGTTGAAGTCCCAGCGCTATCAAGCTATTGCTAGCCACTGTGGCCTGAGTTCGATCCCTGGCCAGGGAGCTGACCCACATGGTGCAGCAGACCTCTCCTGTCTCGCCCGCTGCTCCCCTCAGCAGTGTATTTCAGTCAATCTGCCTGTTCTGCTCCCCACTCTGTTTCTGGTGAATCCTCTTACCCCCACCCCTCTGGCCTTCACCCCAGTTCTTGTATACATAAATAAAAATCTTCAAAAAAAATTTACAAAATAAAATGTCTTGAGGCTTTAGAATAAAGATCCTGGATAAAAATAACATTATATAGCATCACTGAAGTTGCACACACAGAGCATCCTTCCAATGCAGAAGACAATCTTAATCTACTGTGAAGGAAATGACACATTTTAGAAGTTATGTTGCAATCCCAGCACTACTGTCCTTAAAGCCTCTCAGGCGCTTCACTAAATATCTCCTATTTAGAATCATGTGCACTAGGGTGTTACAAAGGAAGAATCTTCAGGCAAGTGACTGGCAAAGGCATGTAAACTTGCCCAACAGAGAAACGCCCTCCGGGAGACTTGAAACGGGCCAATTCTATGAGGTGGTAGAAGCCCTGGTGTTCCAACAACTTAGACTTGTGGGAGCCATTTGGATGCAGTTCTGGCCGGTAAGAATTTCCTAATCTTGGAACACTGAAGTAGTGAGAAAAGGGAGAAAGCTGTTCAGATTTGAGTAAACCTTAACTGACCCCTCATCTATCGGACAGAAGCACATCTGAACAGAGCGTGAGGAAGCCGGAGGGAGAGGGGAGAGCAGATGACTTCCATCCTGGGGGCAGGAAGGCATATGTCATGACCTAATTTTTTTTAATAAAAATTTTTTGGATTAAGATTAAAATAAAAAGCAAAGTGAAAGTAAAAGAAAATAATTTCAAAATATTTTATCATTTTTTTCTCTCTTATTTTTCTGAAGTTACTACTGCTTTTTTAATAATAATTTATTCTTTTGTATAACTAATGCTTTTTAACAAGTGTTAAATGGTTTTATGATAACTGATTTTATGATAAATCATGCACTTATAAATCTCAATAAAATAAAATTTGTATTTGAAGTATAAGGCAAATATTAGAGAAAAGTGTATGTGTTAATACATTGCATATTCTCAATCTTGAATAAAATTTAACAATTTATTCTAATTAAAAAACTGACTTAGGGGCCTCCCTGGTGGCACAGTGGTTGAATGCTGGGTTGCAAAGCTGCCAGCAGCTTCTGTAGTGCCGGTTCGATCCCCGGCTGCTCCCCGGCCACCGGAGGAGGGTCCCACATGGTGCGCAGACCTCTCCTGCCGCCCGCTGCTCCCCTCAGCAGTGTACTTCGGTCCTTCTGCCTGTTTTGCTCCCCGCTCTGGCTCTGGTGAATTCTCTCACCCTCCGTGCTTCTGACTGTACCCAGTGCTTGTATAAATAAATAAATAAATAAATAAATCTTAAAAAAAATATTAAAAAAAAAAACTTTAAAAAAAAAACTGACTTAGAACTGACAATATACTTAGTTTACTTAGAAATAAAATTTTTTGTTTATGTGGAGAGGAACTCATAGTCTAGGAGTAGTTGAAAAAATCTAATCCCATGCATTTAAAAACAGTGTGGCTTGTGTCTTTGGCTTAAATTATGGATACTAGTGCAAACAGGAACAACTGTTGTGAAAGTTTCCCAGAGATTTTCTCAGTTTCCTTTTTCAAAAATTTAATATCCAAAGTCTATTAAATAGCAGTATTATGTTTGACCAATTTAATTTTCTGGAACATAAACAGTAATTCTAATAGAAATGGTTTCCAATTAACAGAAGAGTCACAGAAACTCTTATTAGGATTTTTGGAATGCGGTTATCACTTGATAACAAGTCAGGCCTAGGTTTCAATTCATGCAAAGATTACTGAGAGAAACAAGTGAAAACCTATGTTTCTCCATGCTAATCTTTCCTTTGCAAAATCAAGAAAAGATAAAGAAGCCAATGATCTCATATTGCTCCTGGAACTCACATTTTTCTGTTTTGACGTGGACTATTAATTCTCAGAACGTGCAATATAGAAAGATGGCCAGTTCTCTGAATTTCACTTCTTGTGGGGGCTGAGTGTGGCACATTTCGGGAGGAGGCAGGTCCTGGCTGCCATCCTCACCAAGGTGAATCCTGAGTCCTTATCCAGGCTCCCCCAGGTCCCGTGCCTCAGCCCTAGTTCTTCAGGATGTTGACGTTGTAACTCTAAATACCTTTTAAAATTTTTTAAAAAAGATTTATTTATTTATACAAGAACTGTAATACAGGCCAGAAATGCGGGAGGGTGAGAGGATTCACCAGAGACAGAATGGGGAGCAGAACAGCAGACTGACCAAAAACACTGCGGAGGGGAGCAGCGGGCGAGACAGGAGAGGTCTGCTGCGCCATGTGGGACTCTCCCTGGCCAGTCGGGAATTGAACTCACGCTGCAGAGGCTGCGGACAGCTCCATAGCGCTGTGTTCAACCTGCTACGCCACTGGGGAGGCCCTAAATACCTTTTTAAAAGAATAGTATTTACTTACCCATGAGAGAGGCACTTTAGCTTACTTATCCTGCTCTCTTTTACATTCCTCCTTTAGCAACCAACATTTAGTAAAACAAAATGACTATTTTTAGACTTTCTATACGTTATGGTTGTTCTTGTAAATAAGTCACATAGTCATTCCTTGTTTCATACATCTTGATACTGCTACTCCCCGCTAGCTTGAAATGAGGAAGTATTGTGGACAGCGACTCTCTGGGAGGCTGTAGGACTTGCTGATATCTGATCATTCACCTCGTGACCAGTTTTAAGCTACCAATCTGCAGCCACTGAATCATCTCTTCTATCTACTCTCTTCAGCCAGTTATTTTTTTCTTATTCCAATGGTTAGACTATTTTTGTTTAAAACCACTTAGCTATTTTTCAATAGTTTCTCCCCAAAGACACCATGATTTCATACTGTCATCCATCAACCATGGCTCTAAAAGCAGGAGTGATGAAAATGACCAGGATTTCCATGAGCGCTCTGCTTTTCTCCTGAAAAGCATTCTAGATCCTTACCCCAGTTCTGAATGTGGCAGGGAAGCATTAGCTTTGGAGTCCAAAAGAAAGCGCTTCTGCTTGACAGTCCTCATCCTCTCCACAGTGAGTACAGGGTAGCCCATCTGACTGGTCCAGGTGTTCATGACCTCATTCACTGGCTGATTACTGGCCTGGGATATAAAGGACAGGGGGAGTAATGAACACACAAAGGCAATAAAAGGATACACTCATCAGAAAGAAATGATTGACAAATTGTTGACCACATCGGTCATCCAAAGAAATAGTTGAAAATATACCTTTCCTTACCTCTGCAAGTGCGTCCCAAAAATCTGAAGTTTTTGCATTCTTAAACTTGTATTTTTGCAAGTACGCCTGCATGTGAAAAAAAACAGGTATTTTAGAAGTCAGAGGTTGGTTTTCCCAGACTTCCACCATGAAAGTAGGAGCCCTTGTTACATTTCACTGATGTTTGCTATAGTAAACTGACCCAGAACGAAAATCAAATGATGTGCTGCATGCCATTTTATTTTTAAAAATATTTTATTTTATATAATTCTTACATCATTTTTCATCTTTGTACAATGTATGCATTTTCATTTTGGTTATATTCCCCGTATAATTGCACCCCCCCTCTTATTTTTACTCTAGTTCTTCCTCTCCCTGCCCCTCACTAATCCCCCCCACCCCTGTAGTGTGTCTCTGGTTTATAGTTGCTTGTTGATTTTGATTATTACTTTGCATTGATTAGTCTTTTTCCCAGTCTCTTATTTAGGTTTCCTAAATTCCTGCTATGAGTGAGACCATCCAGTATTTTTCTTTTTCTTTCTGGCTTATTTTGCTGAGCATGATCCCTTCTAGCTCCATCCATGTTGCTGCAAACTGCATGTGTTTATCTTTTTTGATTTCTGAGTAATATTCCATGGCGTATATGTACCACGTCTTCTTGAGCTAGTCATCTATTTTTGGACCTTTGGGTTGAGAAACACTAATTTGAAGAGATATATGCACCCTCATGTTTACATTTGCCCCAAACTGGAAGCAACCTAAATGCCCACTGGGTGGTGCGGTATTTTTTTATAGGTTATAAAATGGCATGCACAAGAAGATGTGCATGCACAAGAAGATGTGCATGCACAAGAAGATGTGCATGCACAAGAAGATGTGCATGCACAAGAAGATGTGCATGCACAAGAAGATGTGCATGCCATTTTATAACCTATAAAAAAATACCGCACCACCCAGTGGGCATTTAGGTTGCTTCCAGTTTGGGGCAATTGTAAATAATGGTGCATTAAACATGGGGGTGAATATATCTCTTCAGATTAGTGTTTCTCAACCCAAAGGCCCAAAAATAGATGACTAGCTCAAGAAGATATGGTACATATACACAATGGAATATTACTCAGCAATCAAAAAAGATAAACTCATGCCATTCACAGCAACGTGGATGGAGAGAGAAGGAATTATGCTCAGTGAAATAAGTCAGAAGGAAAAAGAAAAATATGGGATGGTTTCACTTATTGCAGGAATACAAGGGAACCAAATAAGACAAAAGTATAAAAAAATAACAACAGTACAAAACACAACAAAGCAAAAGTGGACAATTATAAATCAGAGACATCCTGCAGGGGAGGAGGCAGGAGAGGGATCACAGGAGGGCAGGGAGGAGCACAGGGGACTGAGGTGATGGTGCATGGGGACATTGGTGAAGGAAACTCTATGGGGACTACACCTGAGGTGGGGAGGGAAGCAAACATTGTTTAAAAATGAACAATGATGGGCCTCCCTGGTGGCACAGGGAGTTGAGCACTGTACTGTGAGGCAGTAAATAAATAAATCTTTAAAAAAATAAATAAATCTTTTTAAAAAAATGAACAATGATGTAAAAATATATATAAATAAAAAGAAAAAAAACAAATCAGTGCTTCTATATGTTCTCTGGTAAACAACCAGAATTGAATTATACATAAACATCCAGATAATTGAATTATATGAAATTTGTACTATTCATTTTTTTGAGGCACCTCCACACTCTTTTCCATAATGGCTGGACTGATTTACATTCTCAATAACAGTGAGATGGACTCTCTCCACATCCTCTCCAACACTTGTTGTTTCTTATCTTTTGCATAATAGCCTCTCCAAGGAGGGTGATACCTCATTGCTCTATTGATCTGGATTTCCCTAATAAAGAGATGTGCCGGTTGGCCATCTGAATACTTACTTTGGAGAACTGTCTGTTAATTCAGATCCTTTGCCTATCTTTTAATTGGGCTGTTTGTATTTTTTTTTCTATTTTGAGTTTAATGAGTTCTTTGTATATGTTGGATATTCATCCCTGGTGGAGCCTCTTATAGGATGTCTTTTAGTGTTGATGCAAATTTTTGTTTGTTTTTGCTTTGTTTCCCTGCTCCCCAAGCATGTGTGAGGCTGATGTCAAGAAGCATGATCTCCTACATTTTCTTCAATGTATTTTATGCCTTCAGGTCTTATATCCACGTCTTTAATCTCTTTTGAATTATTTTTTGTGTATGATGTGAGGTAGTGGTTCTAGTTTTATTTTCTTTACTTATTAAAGACTTTCCTGTTCCATTATAAGCTCTTGGGTCCTCGGTCATGAGGAAGTTGTCCATACGTGTGTGATATTCCTCAATTCTGTTCCATTAATCGGTATGTTTGTTTTTATTCCAGCACCAAGATTTTTATTATTACTGCTGTGTAGTAGAGCTTGAAGTTGGGGAGTAGATATGCAACCATTTTTGTTCTATTTTCTCAGGAGTGATATTGCTCTGCTGTGTCTTTTTAAATTCTGAATAAATTTCATGATTTTGAGAGTCTATTTCTGTGAAAAACACCATTGGGATTTTGATAGCAGTTGCACTGAATCTGTATATTGCTTTCGGTAATATGGTCACTTTAGTGATATGAATTCTTCCAATCCCTGGCCATGCAACATCTACCTTTCCATCCCTTTGAGATTTCCTCTATTTCTTTCAATGATATATTATAGTTTTCAGTGTACAGGCATTTCCTTATTTGGTTAAGTTCGTTCCAGAGCATTTAATTCTTTTTGATGTGATTGTTTTCCTGATTTGTGTTAGTTCACTATGTGTGTACAAAATACAAAAGATTTTTGTATACCAATTTTGTAGTCTGCGACTTTACTGTACTAGTTTATTATTTCCAATGGCTTTTCACCGGAGTCTTCGGGGTCTTCTGCGTTTACTATCATGTCATCTGCAAATTGCAATGTGGGTGTCTTTCACAGAAAGAAAACCTTAAGTGCTTTTTGAGTCTTCAAAGAAAATAACTAATTTGCACACATCCTTTCAATCCAAACTGCCAATAATTTCCAGTAGGTACTACACAGAAGTCACATTATCTTCTAAATTTCTCTTCTTTTCAGGCAAAGAGAGAGAATGCAATATTAGCAGCACTGAGCCAAGCAGCCAGGAGAAGGTCTCCCCTTTGGAAGGCTGGCGTCCTATTCGCTCTTTCGCCTGAGTCACTGCTCAGCACGGCCACTAGAGGGCAGGCGCGGGCAGGGAGAAGAAATAAAAGCGTCGACTCCCTGCTGGTTTCAGGTGTTCAGTCGAGTTTTGCACAACTCATCCATTTTGTCTTAATAAAATAATTGGCTACTTGGAATAGTAGTAATTACAACCATAGGTACATGTTAATGACAATTTCTAATGAACAGTACCTTCTTAAACTTAATTTAGAGGAGTTTATTTGTAGATTCACCAGGTCTTGAGCTAAGAAATTGCAATCTTGGAACTAGAAGAAAATTAAATATTATTGAACCAACTCTCAGATTTGAGGGGCAAACGGATGTCAAGGAGGCGATGCGATTTTCCAGGGGAGAGAATTCTGAATCCTAGAAAGTTTATGAGGTTTTATCCCTGTTGCTTTTTTTTTTTCCATTTTTCAAAATTTTGTTTTATATAATTCTTACATCATTTTTCATTTTTGCACAATGTATGTATTTTCATTTTGGTTCTGTTCCCCATACAATTGCACCCCCCCCCTTATTTTGACCCTAATCCTCCCTCTCCCCACCCTTCACCCCCACCCCACTAGTGTGTCTCTGGTTTAGTTGCTTGTTGATTTCCATTTTTTCTTTCTTATAGTTATTCTTTTTCCTGGTCCATATTTAGGTTTTCTAGATTCCTGCTATGAGTGAGACCATCCGGTATTTTTCTTTTTCTTTCTGGCTTATTTCGCTGAGCATGATCCCTTCCAGTGCCATCCATGTTGCTGCAAATGGCATGTGTTTATCTTTTTTGAATGCTGAGTAATATCCCATGGTGTATATGGACCACATCTTCTTGATCCAGTCATCTATTTTTGGGCATTTGGGTTGTTTCCATAGCTTAGCTATTGTAAACAGTGCTGCTATAAACATAGGGGCTTTTTTTTGTTTTTCACATTGCAGTGTCTTGCTTGTCTGAACTAGAGGTTAAAAGAACATTTACACAAACAGTGTATTAGATGGTACTAATTTTGTCTTTGTCTAGATTAGTGCTTCTGAATAGCCCATGTTAATAAACTTCTTCTTTCACCTTGAATAAACACAATATAGTCATACCAGTCAAAATTTCACGATGACCTAGGTCCTCCACAATCATTCTCCTTTACTTGGTATTGGTAAGAACAAAAGTAAAGGAACATTATTTCTATTACTAGCATTACCAGCATTACCAGCATTATCAGTATCACTAGTATTGCTAGTATTACTAATATTGCTATTACTAGTATTACTAGTATTGCCAGTATCACCAACATTACTGGTATCACTAGCATTACTATTATTGCTAGTAGCATTATTAGTACCACTAGTAGCATTGCTAGGAGTAGTAGTATTACTAGTACCCCCAGTATTACCAGCATTACTAGTATTACTACGATTACTAGTGATAGTATACTAGTGATAGTGATAGTAGCATCATTAGTCTTGTTTACTTCTTCATTTATTTATTACTACTCACCCATTCAACTAAGAAGCATTTTTCTGAAATATTCATCATTATTAATCATCAGTGAAATGCAACTCAAAATAAGATGTCACCTCACTCCTCTGAGGATGGTCACAGCAAAAAGGGCAGAAACAACAAATGTTTGCAAGGATGTGGAGAAAAAGGAACTTACTTATGCCACTGGTACAGATTTAGACTGGTCTAGCCCCTGTGGAGACAGTCTGGAGGTTTCTCAAAACATTAAAAAGTAGATCTAACATACGACCCAAAAATTACACTCCTGGCTATCTACCTGATGAAGGCAAAAATACTAATTCAAAGGGACATGTGCACTCCTGTGTTCACTGCAGCACTATTCACAAGAGTTAACTTATGGAAACAACCTAAGTGCCCAAGAACAGATGAGTGGATTAAGAAAATGTATATACACAATGGAATACTACTCAGTTATGAAAAAAAAATCTCTTGGCATTTGTAATAACGTGGATGTAATTTGAGTGGATTATGCTAAACAAAATAAGTCAAAAGGAGAAAGACAAATACCAGGTGATTGCACTCACAAGTGGAATATAGAGAAACAAAACAAAGGAACAGACAAAACTAGAGTAAAAACAAACCCTAGAAATCTGACCGCAGAATTGAAGCTGCCAGAGCGGGAGGGTGGGGTTCAGGAGCAAAGTGAGGAGGGTGGACAATGGACTATGCTGGAAGATTATGGGTGTCTTGCTGGTGGGTGTGGTGAGATACACCTAAAGAAGTGGCATCCTGAGGAGGGAGAGGGATCAGAGGGAGGGAGGGAGGAGCACAGGGGACTGTGGTGATGGTTCACGGGTGTACTGGGGAAGGAAATTCTATGGGGACTACACCTGGGGGGGGTAGCAAACATTGTTTAAAAATGAACAGTGATGTGAAATATATATAAATAAAAAAATAAATATAGAAACGGGATCCTGTACCCCTCAATCAAATATAGTGTTGTAAACCAACGTGACCCCAATAAAAATAATTTTTAAAAAATTATTTAGGGCCTCCCAGGTGGCGCAAGGGTTGAGCGCTGGGTTGCGAAGCTGCCCACAGCCTCTGCGGCGCCGGTTCGATCCCCGGCTGCTCCCTGGCCACCAGAGGAGGGTCCCACATGGCGCGCAGACCTCTCCTGCCGCCCGCTGCTCCCCTCAGCAGTGTACTTCGGTCCTTCTGCCTGCTCTGCTCCCCGCTCTGGCTCTGGTGAATTCTCTCACCCTCCCGCGCTTCTGACTGTACCCAGTGCATGTATAAACAAAACAAACAAACAAACAAATAAATAAAATAAAACATGCCTCTATTAAAAAAAAAAATTATTTAAAAATAATATGAAGATAAAAGCATTTTTTGGATTACCTAATATGAATAATGCAATCTAGTAGGCTCTGGTATATGTGAAGATATATAAATATCTGTATATATAAGATATATAAATATCTGTATATATATAAACATCTATATATAAATAGTTGTGCTTCTGGGGAGGTAGGTATTAAATCTGAGTTGAAGCAGCTGCAAAAGTTCAGGATGTTCTAACGCCCATATAGGGACAAACCCATAGCTTCTCCTTCCACCTAATGTCACACAGACTGGGTTCTGATTGGGCAAAAGGAACAAGATATACTTGAACAGTCCCTGGGAATCTCAGTGGGTAGCACAGAGACCATTCAACTCCACCTTGGAGGACTGGGAGAAGTGAGTGACAGGCAGTGCCCTGGGTCACGTGTAGCAGAAGCTCTGCCTCCCCCGGCCCCTGGATGGGCTGGACACATCCACAATGCTCTGCCTAACACCTGCTCCTGGGGGTGACAGTAGGGAAAGTGCAGGGAGACTATTCCCTCTCCAGGCTGCAGTGGGGCAGTTGCAGGGACACTACTTTGATAACATAAGACCCCGAGAGACTGGCTGAGGGTCTTTAAGAGGAGCACAAATGAAAACTGAAATAGCCCCTAGAGCTTTAAGCTTAAGTGGACTGTGTGACAGGTCTTGGAAAGTTGATGGTCGTTTCTGCTTCCAAAAGGAAGTAGACACTGTGAATTCACTGACTCCATCACAGCGGCAATGCTGGCATCAACCATTTTCAGATCTAGTGATAAAAAAAGTCCTTTACAGATGGTAAGGGAAGATCTTTAGGGATCAGTTTAAATTCTCCTATCATGTTGCTATGGACTGACTTTCCGCAGAGGTTCATGCGCTGAATACCTAACCCTCAACATGACAGTCTCTGGAGATGGAACTTTGGGGACTGGTATCCCCTTCTAGTCAGTTCAAGAATTCCCAGCAACTATGTTTGGATGCGGTGAAGACGGGAGGTAAGCAGAGATGTGCAGCCTGGGAGAGACCCCTCACCCCAAAATGAAGCTGCTGCTACCCTAGTCTCAGACTTCTCGATCTCCAGAGCTGTGAGAAAATAGTTTTCTGTTATGTATTTTTGTTATGCTGCTAACTCATACAGATGCAGAGGGGTATCAGTAACTAAGTCATCTGCTGAAACCTGTCCATTACACTCTGCTAAATGGTAATTACAGGGCCTCCCTGGTGGCGCTATCACCACTGCGGCCTGAATGCGATCTCCAGCCAGGGAGCTACTCACATGGCACAGCAGACCTCTCCTGACTCACCATCTGCTCCCCTCAGCAGTGTATTTCAGTAGATCCACCTGGTCTGTTCCCCACTCTGTCTCTGGTGAATCCTCTCACCCCCTGCACCTCTGGCCTACACCCCCATTCTTCTATGCAAAAAAAAAGGTAATTATGGACACAGTTAGGCCTACTCAACTGGATATGAAACCACCTTGTGTGTTGTGCTGAACTATCTATTCCGAATCAGGGAAGGAAAGGTAAAAAAGGACCTGCCTGCAGGTAATCACATGTCTTAGCACTGAGCAGTCACATAGTGGGGGAGTATCGTTTTAATAACACTAAATGTGCTGAAACATACTTGACATCCTTTCCGAAAGTTCTCTGGTGTTATCCAGTCTTCAAGCATTCTCAGAATGGAAGCTCCCTGTGATGGAAAAGAACAACAAGTTGAACTTATAAAGGACACATAAGAAACAGAAATCCGTGATCAGTGTTGAGTCTAGTATTTCATAATTACTTGTGAGATGATTTCCTCAAGGAGATTTTGGTAACTTACATAGTTAGGATTTTGTACTATGATTTTAGTACAAAAACATCACTTGGCATACCACCTGTATCTATGCTTCTAAAGTAACTAAAAGGTAGAGAGAAATTAATAAAATCATTTCAGTGGCTTAACGTTCAGAAAACTATTGCACTTCACCAAATAAACCAGCAGATGGAGCTCTCCTAATGAAAGAAACAAAAATGTTCTTCGCTCACTAAGGGAAGTAGTTTAGGATAAAACTCTGTCTATTCAATAAGTGTATGTCAATACATGGAAAAGTATATTTAATAAGGGGAACTATATAGTTGAGGAATTTTCTGGACAAATAGTTTAATAGAGATAGATTTATAATTCAGGCATCGAAATCCTTTAATCTCAAAAATCAGATGAAAATCTGAGCTTTCTACCTTCTTTTCACAGTTTTCATTACAATAGAAAGATAAAAGGAATCATTGGCAGCTTGAGATAAATTTGAATAAAATCAATCTGAAAAGATGCCATGGGAATGAGAGGAAAAGTCAAAAATAGGATGTCATGACTTCCTAAATATTCCTTAAATATTCACATAATCAAGGCTTTCTTCACACAATCCCTGATGTTAGCTAGTATTCATTTTAGTAAATGCAACAGTTTGTCTTAAATCAAGCTCCATCTCAAGTGTTACCCTGGTGCTAAAATCAGTACAAAGAAAACTACAGAAAATATCTTTCTTGAATTTAGATGTATAATTTCTCAACAAAATGCTAACAAACCAAATCCAACAACTGTGATTTATTACAAGTAAAAAAAAATAAAAAATAAAAAAATAAATCAAGCTCCATCTAGCACCCAGAACAACAAAAGTCTTACTTTGCAGCGGCCTTTAGAGCAAGTGAACATAGTGGGTAGGCCTTGAGGGAGACTGTGGCGGAAATGACCAAGTCTCTGTAGACAGGTCCAGAATATGTTTAGAGATGCAGGTGGGAATGAATGTTGAGTCACTACATATTGGGAGACACTTTTCCATAAAATTTTAGTGAGTAAAATTGCCCAATGTGCCAAAAAGTCACCTTTAAGCCTTAGCAAAATATGGACCAAAGTAACTCCTATGAACTGAGTTGGATTTAAATGCCCATCAGAAGCACTAAAGGAAGCTACCAGGAAAGGTTTCACATACATGGCATATCTCATAGCAGGAGAAGTTCACTGTATTGTGAAAACGAAACTAAATAATTTTATTTGGATGTTGAAGGTGTGAATGATCAGTTGCCAGAATGACAGCAGCTACAAACAAAAGAGGAAAGAGATTTTTTTCAAAAATGTGATTCAAAATCTGATGACAGTGACAGTGACTGAGTAGTGCAGATGAGGGAATATTCAGCACCATGAATAAATGCTACAGCTGCCCACAGCCCATTAGCATTAACTAATCATTCTCACTATTTTCAAGCATGCACGAAAATTCACTAAACAGATGTTCAGAAGAATGTCATATTTCCCCCACCTTGCTATAGGAGATCCCATCAAAAACAGACGTTATTTCAGCGGGAGTTGTCACAGTGACAACTATTGGGTGTGAAGACATCAAAGAATCATCCTCTTGTACAGGTAACACATCGTCGAGTAACATCTGGTCACGCTGAAATGACAGAAGACACCAAATAAGGCCCGGGCCTTAGACTGGTTCATATCAAAATTCAGTTCTATGACATAAATTGAGTCTATAAATGACTCAAGTCATTTAAAGCAAGTATTAGGTGATCAAATTAACCCTATTCTGCACTGATGGCTCTACACTGACTCATCCCTCCACCTTTTTATCACCTCTTTGACTTTGCCCATGTGCAGGTCAAGAAGACACTAGCATCTGTGAATTCTGTTTCTGGGTTTTGGACAAGGTGAAAACTTTTCATCTTGTCCTGGTCCCATATCTGTGCGATGGGAATGACAGCTCCTCACAGCTTTGTTCTGAGAATTGAGGAAGCATGTAGATTTGCCAAAAATTGATGAAAAGCATGAAATCAATAATTTTCTACATGAACTAGTGATTCACAACTAGGGAAATCCCTCACACTCACCCAAGGGACACTTGAAAATATGTGCAGTCCTTTTTGGCTTCACACCTGGGACAGGAGGCTTACTGACATCCAGTAGATACGGGCCAGGGATGCTGTTAAATATCCTATAACACCTCGAAAAACCTCCATAACAAAGAGCTGTTCTGGCCCAAAATGCCAATAGTTCCATTGTTGTAAGAACTTGATGTATATTAGGTTTTCAAAGAAGTAATTAATGCAAATTTACTTTTTCACCTTTTAAAGTAGGTTCTGGAAACTAAGGGCTTCAAGCATTTAACACTGTCTTTTTTGTTCTTTCCAGTAGAGGGCGGTATTCTATTCAGTATACACCTGTGGTTCTCTATTTACACACTTCTACACATACATTCACATAAAGATATTACACCATCTAAATGTAAGCCTTTTTATTTATACAAGAGCCGGGGTACAGTCCAGATGTGCAGAGGACTCACCAGAGACAGAGCGGGGAACAGAACAGACAGACTGACGAAATACACTGCTGAGGGGAGCAGCAGGCGAGACAGGAGAGGTCTGCTCGCTATGTGGGTTGCTCCAAGGCCTGCAGGGATCGAACCGGCACTGCAGAGGCTGTGGACAGTTTCACAGGGCTGCGCTCAACGCCTGCGCCACCAGGGAGGCCTTAAGCCTTTTTTAAAAAGCTTTTCTAGCAGACCTTGCTATGCTGAAAAAAATTTGTTCGAGCCCATAGAAACTTATGTTTCAGGCCCTGAGACACACATGAGGTGATCATAGTAAATACATATACATTTGGGGAGATTTTACGCTTACAAAACAGACACTGTCAATTGCCCAAGGTCACAATCCCTGTCCCACATCTAAGAAATGATGCACCCAGGATTTGAACTTCAGTCTATGAAGGTGATGCTCTTATATCTTTCCCACACTATTTCAGCAATCCGTGGAAGGTAGGTCACGTATAAAATTAGGCTTAGAGGTTTTGAAAGGGTTAGTTCTACCAATGCTTTCTCACACACAGAGTTGGCATTTTCTAGGCTGTTTTTATCCCCTGCCCTGACTCGTGTTCTAGAGTCACTTGTCAAGGATCTCCCACTCTGGGGGTCAGCTGCCCCTTAGCACCAGAGCTTCGGCGTGAAGCGAGATGTAGCTCAGCAGAGTCCCCCAGCGTCCGGCTGGCATCCCAGCTCACCACTGCCTTGGCCCTGACTCAGGACCACTGTCATGGTCTGTGGCTTCAACTGCTTTGCATGAGGAAAACAGAGATCTGGAGTTTATATGGTTAGAGCTCACCATCTGCCAATCTTTCTCGGCGTTGGCTACTCCCAGGAACTCAAAGAAGGAGGCAAAGCCTTCATTTAGCCATAGGTCTTCCCACCACTCCATGGTCACAGTGTTTCCAAACCACTGAAATGACAAGCAATGAAGAAATGTGGCAGGCAGGCAGAGAAAGTTTCAACACATTTATTTGTCCCTGTGAATATCTCTTGATACAGAAGAGGCAGGCGTACTCAGTATTTATTTCCTGCTTCATTTCTCCTGGTTTGCAAACGATTTTAAATCGTCTTGAGTTTATTGCCTTTATTTAAGTACTGCCGTCCTTATTGCTTTTTATCTAGTTTTTAAAGTTACAGGAAAACCCTGTTTACCTTATCTTTACCTACAGGTAAAAAATGTGTCTTGAAAGTTTCATTTATATGTCTGTCCATAGAAGATGAGGAATACTATTCAGCCAGAGGGAAAGAGGAAATGCTTCCGTTGACAGCGAAACAGAGGAGGTTCAAGGGAATTCTGCGTAGTAAAGGTCAGAGTGATGGATACTGGACACTTACATAGTGAATGACTTGGCAAGAAAAGCACTTAGAAAAACTAATGGGCATTAATAAAAGAAGGTTCTGGAGTTAAGAGGGAGAAGGATGGGAGAAAGAGAATATAAAATGGGTTAGGGAAAAAAAGGTTAAGTGAATTAAGACCATTTAGCCAAAATAGATTTTATTTTCATATATTAAAATGCTTGCTTAATTTAGTTTCAAAAATTCATTTGGCCGCACAAAATCCTCTTAGGCATTTTAATATGAGTGACTTGTTACTTAATTTCTCCTAGAATGTCTGCAAAAGACTATCAAGAGTTGATACAGATTAAATCATTAGGTAGAAAATTCAGGGATTTTTTTTTTTTATTTAAAAAGCTTCTTATGGTAAAATGTGGATCAGCAGTAAGAAACAATTTCAAGCAGGATTGTCTGAGTTGGCTATTTTTTCACTGGGTAAATTATAATTAATTACAATTATTCCTCTGGTCCAAAGTCATTGCTTCAAATAAGCTCAGCTACTTGCTGTGAGGTTCTGTACCTGGTGCACTAGCTCATGAGCCACCACGCTGGCCACCCTCTGTTTGTTGGATGAGGCTGATTCCTCAGGGTCATAAAGCAGGTTGGTTTCTCTGTAAGTGATGAGGCCCCAATTCTCCATTGCACCAGTGCCAAAATCTGGAATAGCGATTTTATCTATGGAAAAAGAAAGGTCCAGTGAGAAATACATTCTTTCCATTTGCTCATAACATTTCCTACCAAATTAAGTTCTTTGGGTGAATGTTTTTTTTTTGTTTTTTTTTTTTTTTGATAGAGGCATGCTTTATTTATTTGTTTGCTGGTTTGTTTGTTTGTTTTGTTTATACATGCACTGGGTACAGTCAGAAGCGCGGGAGGGTGAGAGAATTCACCAAAGCCAGAGCGGGGAGCAGAGCAGACAGAAGGACCGAAGTACACTGCTGAGGGGAGCAGCGGGCGGCAGGAGAGGTCTGCGCACCATGTGGGACCCTCCTCTGGTGGCTGGGGAGCAGCCGGGGATAGAACCGGCGCCGCAGAGGCTGAGGGCAGCTTCACAACCCAGCGCTCAACCGCTGCGCCACTGGGGAGGCCCTAAAAATAATTTCTTAGTGTGGAAAACAATAATCTATTTGTACAAACTACAGTCTTAATGCACTCAACATTTCCATAAAACTTTTCCTCTTGGCTCCAGCATCAATGTGTCTTTTATTTTCAGAAGAAGGATACTAACAGCAACACGCTGTGCAAGTACTCTACAATTTTATGTCTTTTGTTCCTCTTGATACTTCATATTTATTAGTTTTTTTGTCCTCCAAGATTTTCTTGTAGGTAACACAGAACATCTATTTGAGGAGATAAACTGAGAAGAATCAAAGAATGGAGTTTTCAAAGGACTTGGAAGGACAGAGCAACCAGAGCAGAGATGCATGTCTCTGACAAAGGATGATAGCAAATACAAAAATTTCCGTTTCCCCAATTCTGTGCCACTTGAGGTAAATCTCATTCCATGCAAATTGAGTAGCTACCATTCACGTTTACATTGAATAAACTGAGTCAAGATTGAATTGACCATATTCTTTCTAAATTCCCTCCAGGTCTAAAATGATGCATTCTATTAGGATTTTCTACTCATTTTTGCTGGAGCTAAAATCTTAGACCTCTTTGGCAGCAAGAATCATTGTTGATTAGTTTCTATGTTAAATCCCCAAACAGAATATATGCAACTTGATTAGTGGACAGAATCCAGCTTCTCTAGTTAACGGGCAATAACAAGAATGTGATTCATTATTATAAATATAATAATTATCATACATATAATGTCTTTTTTACATATAATTTCAATGAGGCATGTAAATGAAAAGAGATCAAACCTTTATCTAATACATAAGATGAGGTCCTTTCTTTTTGGTTACAACAAAGACTCTCAAAGCTTTTTTTTTTTTTTTTTTTTTTTTTTTTTTTTTTTTTTTTTTTTTTTTATTTTATTTCTTTTTTTTTAAAGATTTATTTTATTTTTATTTTTTTTATTTATTTATACAAGTACTGGGTACAGTCAGAAGCACGGGAGGGTGAGAGAATTCACCAGAGCCAGAGCGGGGAGCAGAGCAGGCAGAAGGACCGAAGTACACTGCTGAGGGGAGCAGCGGGCGGCAGGAGAGGTCTGCGCGCCATGTGGGACCCTCCTCCGGTGGCCGGGGAGCAGCCGGGGATCGAACCAGCGCTGCAGAGGCTGCGGGCAGCTTCGCAACCCAGTGCTCAACCGCTGCGCCACCAGGGAGGCCCGACTCTCAAAGCTTTTTTATAAAAGAATGAAGATGGATATTTCCTTTTTTTTTTTTGGAAATGGATTTTTTTAAATAGAGGTCAAGGTCACAGCAGGAGCTCCTTTTTTTTTTAAAGATTTATTTATTTTTATACAATAGCTGGGGTACAGGCCAGAGGCGCGGGAGGGTGAGAGGATTCACCAGAGACAGAGTGGGGAACAGAACAGGCAGACTGACGAAATACACTGCTGAGGGGAGCAGCGGGTGAGACAGGAAAGGTCTGCTGTGCCATGTGGGAATATCCCTGACTGGCCGGGAATCGAACTCGCGCTGCAAAGGCTGTGGACAGCTTCACAGCACTGCGCTCAACCTGCTGCGCCACCAGGGAGGCCCCAGAAGCTCCTTTTTTCATATTATCTTTTTTCTTAAGTTTAATTATTTTGTCAAAAGAATACCAAGTAAAGGGTTGGGAAGTCTCCCCCCAAGGGCTAATATCTCCCATAATGTTATGGGGTGGGATTTGCACCTAATGCTTGAACAAAAGGAACTTTTTGTTACCTCACTTCTCTGGTGAGTATGGATATTATAATTTATTGACTTCAGTGCACTTAATAAAAGCAGATGTCATTTCCAAAATAAGTCTAAAATAGAATCAACTTGGAGATGGTGAAAAGCATATAAAAATTGAAAGGAGGAGGCGTGGGGGAGATATGGGGAGGAAGGGAGAGAGGAAGGAGAAGAGAAAAATAAACTGGTGAAATTTCTACTTTCTTGTTCAAAGCCATGGCCCCTCCCATCTAGAGAGTTTGGCACACCAATGGCTTGGCATGGACAACTCATCAAAGTAAGGGCAGAAACAGAGAAATTGATTGTTGGTTGGCTGGTTTTCTCATTGCCTTCAGACAACTGTATAGGTGCGGCACTCAAAGTCTCAGCTAACAACCACTCAAGCTTATTAGCAAAGCACTTCTGTGATGAATACAAGTGTCATAGCCACAGCATTTTGACTGAGTCGTACTTTAAGAAGAAAACATGCCCTTCATATTAAAAAAATATATGTCTTTGGAAGGAGCATCAGTGTCTGAAGTTAACTGCTGGAAGACTAGGATTAGTCTTGTGTGTCAATGGAGAGGCTGGAAGCACAAGTCACCTCTGAAAGCATCCTATGGCCCTGTAAATTCCCATCTCATTGATGGTAGGGAGGAAATGGAGCCTATCAGAGTGAGAACTGATTTTGCAATCAATGGATCTAGGCTGCTATTTCTAACTCCATCATTGTCAACATCTGTAGATTTATCCATATACTTTAATCTATATTTGAAAATAAAGGACTGACTGCATATTGATCGGGTTATAACAGAGCATAGACTGTATATATGCAGGAATCCAACACATACTGGAGACACATACAATGGGCCTGTAATAAAAAGACTTAGGGAAACACTATAAAGTATGAAAAACTGGAGGAAGTGAGTTAACTTAGGTGAAAACAAAGGCAATATTAAAAATCAGATAATAAAAAATATCCTCACCTAATTTGGGAAGAGCATACTCCATACCAAAGTAATCTTCGAAATAATCAAACACACTTTGGGTTATGTTTGCAGCATATTCAGCTGTGTGCATTTGTTGCTTCTGGACATAGATAGTGAGCTATTAAACAAAACACAAAAAATGAGTGCCCATTACCCTTTATTTGATAAAACAAATAATACCTGACTCACAGATTTTTAATAACTAGAATTAATGCAACACCCAATGGCTGGCATAGTGCCCAATATATTTTTAAAATGTCATGACTTTTTTGTATTTAAAACATATATTGTTTTCTTAATAGCAATCTTATCTGTCATCATCTATTTCAGTATAATTTGTCTTTGAATAAATGAATCATGTGATTTTTCTCATCTAAAGAATCATTGAGTTCATATTTTTCACTTGTGCTGTTCTACCCATTGTTACACAAATTATCCTTTTAATTTTTTTGACTATTCTATTCTCAGAGTATAAAATATAACCATTTAAAATTTTCCTGTATATCAATAACCTACATCAATTCTCTAAGTTTCTAGGATGTTTTTTATGCCCCTATGACATAATTCATAAATCAAACCAGGTGTAAACATTTCTCCCTTAATTCTAAGCATGTATGATCCAGGAGAGCCAGTACAATATTGATGGAGAAGAACAAAGTTGGAGGACTGATACCACCTGACTTTTAGACAGACTGGAATTCAAGACAGAGTTGTGCCAGTAAAAGAATACAAAATAGATCAATTCAACACAATAGGGAGCTCAGAGACAGACTCACGCAATGAGAGTCAACTGATCTTTCACAAAGGAGCAGAGACAACAATGAAGCAAAGATAGCCTTTTTTTTTTTTAAAGAAATGGTGCTTAAAAAAAGGAATGTGGATGCAAATCGTATATCATTCTCAAAAAATTAGCTCAAAATGAATCAAGACCTAAATATAAAATATGAACCTCTTAAAAGATAAGATAGGAGAAAACTTTGTTGTACTGGATGATTTCTTTGTTGCAACACCGAAGACACAATCCACCAAAGAAATGATTGATCATCTGGACTTGATTAAAAACTTCAGCTCTATGCTATGAAAGATAATCTCAAGAGAATGAGAAGACAAGTCACAGACTGGGAGAAAACAGTCTTTTAAAACTGTTCCAGGACTATTATCCAAAGTATATAAAAAAAGCTCTTAAAACTTAGCAATAAGAAAACAACTTAATTAAACAATGGGTCAAGGACTTTACCAGATACCTCACCGAAGAAGTCAAACAAGAGGCAGGTAAGCCCACGAAAAGGTGTTCAACACTGTATGTCATCAAGGACATGCAAATTAAAACATTAGTGAGCTATTACTACATCCATGACACCAGCCAAAATCTGGAGCATTGACCACACCAAATGCTGACCAGATGTGACAAGGCAACAGGAACTCTCATACACTCTTGGTGGAGACATAAAAAACAGTTGTGTGGTTTCTTACAAAGCTAAACATACTTTTGCTGTATGATCCAGCAAACATGCTTCTTGGTATCAACCTATCCAAAGGAATCAAAAACTCAAGTCCACTCAAAAACCTGCACACAGATGTTTACAGCAGCTTTACACATAATCAATAAAACTTGGAAGCAACCAAGATGTCCTTCAGCATGCAGATGGATAAAAGAAACTGTGGTATATCCAGACAATGGAATATTACTTAGCACTTAAAAGAGATGAGCTGCCAAGTCATGAAAAGACATGGAAGAAACTTAAATACATATGGCTTAGTGAAAAAAGCCAATGTGAAAATGCTACATACTGTCTGATCCAACTATGTGACTGGCAAAGGGAAAAAAAAAAAAGGAGAGAATGAAGACATGGATGGTTGAGATGAGAGAGAGAGGTGAAGAGGTAGAGTACAGATGATTTCTGTATTACATAATAATGATGTATAATTATTGGGATACCTTCTTCCAAATCCACAGACTATGCAGCACCAAGAGCTAACCCCAATGTAAATAATGAGCTTTGGGCATTAATTTGCATCAATGTATTGGGTTGTGGGAAAAGTTATGACTTTTCCTACAACCCAACAGGTTTACTCTTGGTAAAAAATGTACTATGTGGGGGTGATATTGATAATGGGGGAATAATGCATATGTGGGCGAGGGGTACATCAAAGTTCTGTATCTTCCTCTCAGTTTGATTGTAAACCTAAAACTCCTCTCTTTAAAAGTCTCTGAAAAAGGCTTATGAGGACTGAAATGCCATATGCATGCTGAACCTCAGACCTACAAAAGATGTGTTTTTTTCCCGATTAGTTCATCTAATCAGAACAGTGATTTGTTATTTAAATAAAACTGGAGGGCCTCCCCTGGTGGCACAGCAGTTGAGCGCGGGGCTGCTGCCCGCAGCCTCTGCAGCGCCAGTTCGATCCCCGGCGGCTGGTGAGGGTCCCACATGGTGCGCAGAACTCTCCTGCCTCGCCCGCTGCTCCCCTTAGCAGTGTATTTCGTCAGTTTGCCTGTTCTGTTCCCGGGTCTGGCTCTGGTGAATTCTCTCACCCTCTCGAGCTTCTGAATGTAACCAATGCTTGTATAAATAAATAAATAAAATAAATAAATAAATAAAACTGGAAAAAAATCACTCATGTATGGTAACCTAATCTATGACAAAGAACAAACCCGGGAAAGAATAAACAGTAGAATAAGAAAAGTCTCTTCAATAAATGGTGATGGAAAAACTGGATTGCCACATGCAGAAGAATGAAACCAGACTACTCTCTCACACTACACACAAAAATCAACTCAAAATGGATAAAAGACTCTAGTGTAAGACATGAAATATATCGAAGACATAAATATATATAGAAGACAACATAGGAAAACACTCCATGACATATACCTCAGAAACACCTTTGGGGACTCATTTCCAGAAGGAAAGAAAATGAAGGGGAAGATAAACAGCTGGAACTACATCAAATTAAAAAGCTTCTGTACAGCAAAAAAAAAAAAAAAGAAAGAAAGAAAAAAAGAAAATAATAATCAAAAGAAAGAGACACCGTACTGTGGGTCTGCTACTCCTAAGCAGCCTGTTTGACCACCATTTTGTCACTTATAGTTCTAAATCCTAAGCAAGGTCAAAATGGCCCAGTCAGTTAGGTACAGGAGCCCAATTCTTCAAGGTGCCCTTCAAATCAAACAAAAGCAGAAGCTGGATCACACTGGGAAGGCTATGCATCACAAAGTATGACAGGGAACGCCCAGGGGGCTGAGGACAGATGTATGATAAGTGACCCAAGAAGCTGATCAGTGGAACACCTTGTTGATAAGATTAAAACCATGGCTGGGGATTAGGGTGTGATCTCAATGACAATATGGGGTCATCAAGTAGATAAGAAGTGCCTGGAGGGCAAACTCACAATCCCTAATCTTCTACACCCTTCCCCTTTCTTTAATCTCCTTCTCCTTAATCTCCTTTTGCTGCTCCCCCTTACAAGGATGTATCAATAAAAAGGCCAGGATCTTGCTCTTCAGCAGCATCCTGCATTATGTAGCCTGCTCCACGATTCCTGTTTCTTTGTCAGTGTGGTGTTGCCCAACACAACACTGTACTGAATGGGAACAAATATTTGCACACCATACAACTGATAAGGGACTGGTATCAAAGATCTACAAAAAGCTTACATGACTCATCCAAACCAAAGAAGCCAATCAAAAAATAGGCAGAAGAGCAAAAAAGACACTTCTCCAAAGAAGAAATGCAATGACCAACAAGTATATGAAAAAATGTTCAGCATCACTGGTTATCGAGGAAATGCAAATCAAAACCATAATGAGATACCATCTCGCAGTGGTGAGAATGATCCATACTAAAAAAACTGGCAACAACAAATATTGGCGAGGATGTGGAGAAAAAGGACCCTCTTACACTGCTGGTGGGAGTGCAATCTGGTCCAGCCACTATGGACAGCTGTATGGAGTTTCCTCAAAATACTAAAAACAGAGATACTGTATGACCCAGCAATTCCACTCTTAAGAAGCTACCCAAAGGACAGAAAACACTAATTTGAAAGGAAACCTGCACGTCTATGTTTATGGTAGCACTAGTTACAGTAGCCAAGATATGGAAACAACATAAATGCCCCCAAACAGATGACTGGGTCAAGAAGAAGTGGTCTGTAGACACAACGGAATACTATTCAGCAATCAGAAAAGATAACCTTACATCATTCACAGCAACACAGATGGAGCTGGAAGGAATTATGCTCAGTAAAATAAGTCAGAAGGAAAAAGAAAAATATTGGATGGTTTCACTTATGGGTGAAATGCAGGGAAACTAAACAAAGGGTTAGGAAAAAGACAAAATGTGCAGGCAAACCATAGATTTGAGGCAGACAGGGGAAGGGGAAGGAGGGGGTGAGAACAGGGGAGGGAAGAGCATGAGGGACTGTGGATGGATCACGGGTGCTGTGGTGGTAGAAGAACTACAGGGACTACACCTGAGGGGAGAAATAAAATATTTAACAAAAATGAACAACAATGTAAGGAAATAAATAAATAAACTAACTTAAAAAAAAAGACAGTGGCACCACTGGGGGCAAAAAACTGGAAAAAAGGAGAAATAACATCTACTTTCTCCCTTTATTTTCCTTAGAAGTGAAGAAAAATGGAATGATTCAATAATCTGAAGGATACATTCAGAAAGCGCCTGCACGAATCACCAGTGCTGGTTCACTGTCTCATGTCCCCCGAATGATTCACATTCCGACTCTAGTTGCAACAGTACAGACATGTCCATCCCATCTTCCTCTCACAGGCAGCACCACTCACTCAATTGTCACCCTAACATCCTCTAAGGTTTTTACATTTTTTTTTCACTCGTCAGCAGTGATGGCACATTCTCACTGCCCTCTGTGCTCTGTGACGACAGGCATTTTCCAAGAAGTGAAGTGAAACTAAGGATCCAGTAGTGGGCACCTAGCAGAGGGAAGAAAATCGCCCCTGTGAAATGAAAACCGTTGCTACAGGACTGCCTTGCTGCAAACTCAGATTCTTGGAATTTTTCACCTCTCTGCACTAATGAGTGTGCCAAAAGTCCTGCAAAATTTCTGCCACATCTGTTCTCCAACCACCACACACTCCAG